CTTCACAAACTATAACAAAAATTTTATTTGCAAACTGTAAAAAAACTTTACACTATATTTCAAAGGTAAAGAATATATTTGAAAGTCATAAATTATATATTTAAGAAATATAATCATTATTGTAAATTTATAAAAAGATATAATGTGATTAAAAAAATATTTTTTAAAAAATATAATAGCCCGCAGGCCAGCCCTTTTAACTCGCGGGCTAGCCTATTTTAGCTCTCTATTTTTGCGGGTTGGGCTAACCCAGCCCGTTTTAAAAAACGGGCCAATTTCTTCAACCCAATTTGTCAAATTGTGCAAGTTAAACAGGCTAGCTTGCAGGCTCAACTCGTTTTCCCAACTCTAATAACAACATTGTCTTCTCCAGCATACAACAAATCAACAACGACATGAAGCTTCTTTCCAAATTCAATCTTTTAAATAAAGGAAGCACTAATTATAATGTTAATTAGAAGCCACCTGAAATTGGTTGGGCTAGACTTGATACTGATGGGGCAATTAATATTAATAGCGTTGCTACTTGTGAATGCATCATCAAAGATGATAGAGGAAATTGAGTCAAAGGTTTTTCCAAACACATTAGATATCTACCCAGCACTACAAGTTGAGTTCATAAGAATCTACAAAGGCCTTATCCTTTACTGGAATAAAAGGTTACCCAAAGTTAATGTTCATACTGACTCGATGGAGGCATTATCTCTCGTTACTTACAATTATTTTAATAGTCATCCATTATTTGACATCATTAGATATATTAGAGAACTCACTCTGAAGGATTGGGTGATCACTTTTGATTATATGCACAGAAAAGCAAATAAATGGACAGATCACTTAACACACACCAGACACCAAATGATAATTTTATTACTATAACCTCCAATGTTGTTTTGCATGATTATAGGAGCTTGTTGGATTTAAATATAATTAGATTTTAAGTTTTTTCGTACAGTTTTGCCGTGACTTTATATTAAAATAATAATAATAATAATAATAATTGGATGCTTTTAGATTTGATACAGGTGACATCATTAGCCATGCTAGAGTCAAAGTGGCAGTGATTATGTTCGGAGTTCAGAGTTCACGCCAACCATTGTTGAGTGTGGCCGCCTGAACACGTGCATTTAATTCTATTCCACCAATTCCTTGCCTTGATCATACTGAGAACCCTGCCAACAAGTGGAGAGATGGGAATGGCGTGCATCATATTTATATCTTTGTTCAGTGCTACTGAAATGCAAATTGAAAGCGATGGATGAATAGAAATATTAAAAGTGATTAAAATTGAGCATGGCTGAGCACGAACTATAGGTCATCATGCTGCAAAAGGTATAAATGAGAATTCAAATTGGGAAGTAGCTAAATCTTAAGGCACGTTTGGAAGCATAAAGAGGACGCTAAAGTCTAAGCAAGTGATCACACCGATGCTAAATTGATGACATGTTCTTTGCAGGAGTTGAATTTTGAAAGACTGCTGCCTTGACTGATGTTTGGTACGACGAAAGGATTGTGTTTTTTTTTTTTTATTTTTTAAATAATGCCGGGCCGTGTTATTGTGTTTGGCGTGCACTGATAAGATTTGTGTGGGAAGCCAAGTTGCCCATAAACACGGGAAAAGCCTTTCCACCCAAAATCTTGAAAAAAATATGGAAAGCGCTTTGGAAAAACATATTTTATGGACCAGAATATACTCATAATAAATATATTCCAACCCTTTTTTCGGCTACAACAGATGGGGTGTCGGTGTGGGTGTGCGATATACAAATATCTCTTACAATCTGGCACGGGCACTTGAATTAATCTCAGGTGTTTTATTGTCACATTAAAAGGTGAAACTTTTAATCTCTAATTGCATTTCATCCTATCTTTATCATTTAAACCAGTTTTATTTTGTTGGGCTAAGTGATAAAAAATTATTTTTTGTCTAAGAAGTGAAGTCCAGTGTAAAAGTACTCATAACATTAACAAAGTGAGTGCAAAAATACTCAAACTATTAAATTTAACTCATCTATTAACGTTGACTGTTAAAAAAATAAAATAAATATTATATGCAAAAATATCCGTAAACTTATTGCCTATGAGTTCTTGGTATCCTTAAATTAATAATGGTGTATTTATATTCATTAATTTTATAAAAAAAATCATATAGTCAAACTTAGTTTTAACAACTTAAACTTTTAGGTTTCTTCAAGTTGGTTTAAATATTTAAAATGTAAAATATTTATTATATATATATATTTAGTCAATTTTAATTTTATCATAAATATTAATTGTTTCAATATTTTCTAATTTTAATTTAATTTTATTAATAATAAAAAATTCAGATATTTGAGGAAAGTTCATTTGAGTTTGAAGCCGTTTTGATTTCTTTTGTTTTTTTTTTCGGGGATTCATTCAAGCCAACTGAACAAGCTTGATGTACACGGAGCTCCATCCATCCTCTTCTAGTCCAACAGCTTCACAATTTTCAAGCCTATTCCTTCTGTTCAATGTATAAGTCATTTTTTTAAAATGTGATTTCATTCACTTTATAAATTATTTATTAATAAAATTATTTTATTTTAAATTATTTTTAAAAAATAAAAAAAAGATAAAAAATAATATTATATAATTAATTTATTCTTTATTTGAGAGTTATGTTTAAAATTTTACTTATTTTTATTTTTTATACTTTTATTATATTAATATTAATAAAATTAATAAAAATAATTTATAAATAAAATGAAAGGATGATGTGACAAGCAAATTCCATCCGCTTTTTCTGTGCAACTCACCTCAAAACCAACGCCTATAGCCTTATGGTGCTTCTTGTGATGAAGTTAAAACTCTCATGAAATTAAAATATTTTAAAAATTTTTGAAACGATTCAGGATAATTAAGAAGGTGTTAGAGTTTTTTAAAATATGTTAGTATAGCATTAAAGATTTAAATATTTTTAAAATAGTATAAAGAGTATTTAAAGTATCTAAATTATTTTAAGAATATCCTTCTCTCGTACATTTCAGAATTTTTCTTGTGAATATTAAGATATTTCTTGTAAATGTTTCTAGAGATAGAATGTATACCGTTGGATTCAATTAATCTCAACCATTCATTAAGGAGGTGGTAATTTTTTAGAAAAAGGAGAAGGCCTGTAAATACCTCCTCACCCCTCAGTTGTAACAACTCAAGCAACATAATAGAGCTTTCAAATTCATTTACTCAAGTTCTACTCTCTACTTGTGCATCTAGCTCTCTCAAGTCTCTTTATCTATTTTGTGGGTTCGGTTGATTTGATTACAATTAAAAGGTTGATCAAATTAAGATCGGCATAGTTTAAAAAGAAAAAAATTTTAAGGTCGTGACATTTTGCTTAAAAAAAACAAAACTTACAGTACTATTCGGCATTTTCTGTGCAACCCCACTCTTTATAGTTCGTATTATATTTATATCCCAGGCCTATTTCTCCGTTTATCATTATTTTTAATTTTTTTAAATTAGCGTACAGTTGATGGGTCGTCCATTCTTAGCTTCCTTCACTTGTTTGGCATAGTGTCAGCAGGGACAGATCTAGAACTTCATGGTTGGAAAGCCAAACTAAAAAAACATTTTGGGGGGCCAAAATCTGGTTTAAAATATTTTACACTGATTTTTTATTTTTTTTACTAAAAACTTTGTGATATATGTTGGGGGGGGGGGGTTAAGAAGAACCTTTCCTTAGCGTCAGATATTTGCAGAACACGGAAGTCGGATATTTACGATCGTGCCAGACACCCAAGCCAAAAAAAAAAAAAACAAAAACAAAAACAAAAACAAAAAAGAAAACCAGCCCCCCAAAAAGTACAAGAATTTTGCATGTCTCTCTTGATTTTACGGTGCCTTTGCATTGAAATAATTTGAATTTAAATCAATTAGATACATACAGAAGTAAAAAATTTATGACAAATTCATCTTTTATTATAACTACTATTTAATATCAAGGTTTTTTAATGTCCAAATCATTTGAAATTCTTATCATTTTAAACATTTCATTATTTTCATAGTTTTTTATCTATTTTTTATATATTAAACAGTAAAAATGAACCCATCATTTTTAATTTTAATTTTAATTTTGAATATCAATTCATCTCTTTCTTTTATTTGAATTTTTTAAAATTATCTAGATAAAATATTTTAAATATAAGATTTGCAATGTAAGACTTCAAATTTAAAATACAAATTCAAATCCATCAATATAAAATCTACTTTAGATCATTTGTAAGGACCATATGAATTTCGATTCACCTTCCATGCTTTAGTTCCTTATATTTATTACATATTTGTACCCCTGTTTGCATTGATCTCGAACGAAATGCGTTGCAGCATTTCATGTTAACATGACTCTATAAACTACAGTGTTTTAAAGCATCAATTTGCCAATTAATATGCATAACTCAAGGAAATATTTTGTTGTGAATAGGAGAGAGAAATTTGTTTGATGGAATGGTAAGAATAAAATGGATTTACAAATAAAAATAAAATGATCAAGATATAAAAATAATATAAAGACAAATTATAATCGTGAAAGATATGGTAATGTTGACAATTCTCTTATGAAAAAGGTGACGCCAAGAAAAATATACAATTAACTTGTCATGCTGAAATGAAAAGTCTACTTTTTATTTTTATCTCTCGGAGCCATTTCATTCTATTTCGTCCATCGCCTTCTGGGAGGAAAAATGAGAAGCGTGAAATACGAGGGCAGGGGAGGTGAAGCCCCTGGAGATAAATAGTCCATTTCGTGGGCTGTGAGGTAGCCGAACCGACACCAAAAACCTTGTTTGCAACGCCCACCCACATGCACCCATTTGCGGTTTTGCATAAATAAAACAGATAATCAAAAATCAAAAGTTATCAACTACACTAACCACCCGATTATGTATATGATAATCCCCACCTTCCGTGTTGTTGAAAATACCAATCTTTTTTAAACCAAAAGCAACTGTGGGTCGGCCTCCTCATCTTCAAGTGCATGTGTTCCTCAGACGCTGACAGCTCTTTGCTTCTCAATCATGCAATACATACCTGCCTTCAATTATTTCTCTCAATGGAAGGATTCATGACTTTCCCTTCTCTGGGCTTTGCATTTCTTCATTACGCCCTTCGTCCTCCCTCTCCCTCTCCGTCACCTCCCACCCTCCTCATCAACACCATGCTTCAAAATTCCTTCCCCCCTCTCCTTTCATAGCCCCCCTCTCTTTTATTTGTTCCCAAATCTCACGTTTCTCTCTAATTGGATATCCCGTCATTTAATCCTCCTTTGTTGGAAAATAAAATCTTTTGCCTCCTAGTTTCCTTCTCACTGACGGCGCGTCCTTCCATATCTTTGCCGATTCGTCTGGCCAACGAAAACCGGAGGGCTTTCTTTCTGCCTCACAGCTCCCCTGTGGTATTAGGAGAGTGATGCATTTTGAATCTCCAAAAAAATGGCAAATCTCGTTCCCGGGGTTCTTCTGAAGCTTCTGCAGCACATGAACACCGACGTCAAAGTTGCCGGTGAGCACAGGTCTTCTCTCTTGCAAGTTGTGAGCATTGTTCCGGCTCTTGCGGGCGGCGAGCTATTCCCCAATCAAGGTTTTTATCTCAAGGTCTCCGATTCCTCTCATGCCACCTACGTCTCTCTCCCGGACGAGCACGACGATCTCATTCTCAGCGACAAAATTCAGTTAGGTCAGTTCATTTTCGTTGATCGCCTGGAAGCTGCTTCGCCTGTACCGATTCTTCGCGGGGTTAGGCCTGTTCCAGGGAGACACGCCTGTGTGGGAAGCCCTGAAGACATTGTCGCAACTCATTCTCTTGGGTTTCTTAATAACAATAACAGCAATTCCACAGAGAGATCGAAATCTCCTAAAAGGGAGAAAGTCAGATCAAATGATATTGTGAAGGAAGAACAGTTGGAGGAAAAACCGGCGCTGTTTAGCAGAGGTAAAACACAGCCAACAAAATCAGGGCTAAAAGTGGATATGAAGAAAGAGACCTTGACAAGATTGAAGTCCTTGAATTCACGGTCGATTCCTTCGTCGCCGACCAGCTGCTATTCTTTGCCTTCCTCTTTTGAGAAATTTGCGAACGGGGTGAAGCAGCAGGCTAAGATTAAGGGAGTGGAGAAGCTGGCCGCTAAAGTGGGAGTGGTTGAGACCGGGAAGGCCATTCGTGGGGGTAGTCCCACACCAACAGGGAAGAAAATTGGTGTAGGAAACCCAATCAAAAGTTTGGTTCAGGGCATGGAGTTCGGGGCAAAGGCACTTCGTAAGAGCTGGGAAGGGAATCTGGAAGTCAAGAATAGAGATAATTCAAAATTGAGAGCTGCCAAGTGTGATCCTAAGCATGAAGCTCGTAGTTCAGTAAGTTGATTCACGATTTGTCTTTATGAGCAACTACGTATTCTCAGAAACTCATAAGTTTGTTGGATTTGATTGTATGTCAAATAATCCGCTAGGTGGTGTCAGTCTGACGTATCTGGCTTTTACCTCTACGTTTCTGAGCCAAACAATTTTGTGAATCTTTTTCTTTTATGTTCTAACAGGCTCCGAGGAAAAGCACATCAAGTGAAAAATTGGCATCTAAGGAGGATAGCAAGGCACAAGCAACTTCAAAGCCTTCTAAGGAGGAACATAAGGCTCAAACGTCTTTGAAGAAGGTTATTGCTAACGGAACTCCAGAGAGCCAAGAAAAGTCAAGTAAACTAAGAGCTTCCCTAGGAAAGAAATCATCAGAATTGTCTAGCAACGGGCTCCCAGGAAACTTGGTTAAAGTTTCTCTGAATAGTAAAAAAGTGACAGATGCAAGCGTTCAATGGGCTTCACTCCCATCCTCTCTTGCAAAGCTTGGGAAGGTATATTCCTTGAGAACTCCTTGTCTTGTATAGTTTTTATCCGTTTGGTCTAGGCTGTCCAAGTACATGCTGCTAAATGCTGAAGACAGGCGTATACAATCTTCGATTGCAATTGTCCATTGACATGTGTTTCCTTGTTTCTATCATAAAGAATTTTCTGAAGAAGCATCTGCTATGAATTGTGTAATTACTTTTACCGTTTGGTCGATTGACACCTCTTTTAAGGGACAGTTTTGACTGTAAGTTAATACTAATCGGACAAATTCAATCAGGTGCTTATTTATGACATGCAAATGTATAATTATTGCTGCAGTTCAGTGTTCTAAGTCCGCACAGTGCATAGGAAATTTAATTTGTTTCCCTGTCACTGTTTCTAATGCCATATATGCATCCGCTGGATGCACAGTTGATAGGAATATCTGGCTTATTGAATCTTTATTTCCTGACAATTCTGTGTATTTATTTCACGTATTTATCACAGGAAGTTATGAAACAAAGAGATGCAGCACAGATGGCAGCAATTGAGGCCATGCAAGAGGCGTCTGCTGCTGAGAGTTTGCTTCAATGCCTTAGGTACAAATACATCACTAAGAAATTAACTGCTTGAATTTCTCTTGTACTGCTAAATTGGATCACGGACTGCTTAGGCATAAATGTTGGAATTTAGATACTGAACCGGCTAAAATATATTGATTATATATAGATGTGATTTTTTGGTTACATATTCAGCTGTGATTAGTAAGTGAATTCTTCTTCTAGATTAGCAGAGCAATCGAGAGGATTATCTTCAGTGGGTGTCGATATGCCCTAATGTCCTGCAAACTGAGCAGCATCAATAACAATTTCATGAACCTGTTTTTGACATTATTTCTGCACTACGTGTCATCAATGCATCCACCTCTTAAATCCCTAGAATTTGGGTTACAGTTGACATTTTAGAGCTACATTTTCCGTCATCCTTTCGATCATTTATGTCATTTCTCCTGTGCTTGATATAGAGTTGAATATTTCTCTTGTAATCATTTAAGATATATGGTGTGAAACAATTTGGTAATTTTTAAGACATAAAAAAAGAGGAGGGGGCTATTATATGTCAGGTCAAAGCCTATCTGAGGTCTGTCGTCTTTGTTTTAGTACAATTTGATTGTAGATAAATAGCATATGATAATGGTAACTTAGATCCCAAAAGTGGCAGATTCCTTATGATTAATGGCTTTGAATGCGGAACATGATATGCATGAGATGAGAGCAATAAAGGGGCTGTTTATAACGGAAATGACATTGGGGAATGTGAAGAGTGATGGATTGACATTATGAATTATTCTTTCGCATTTCTCCAGGATTTCGTTGTCCCATTTCTGATTCAAACTCTGTTTAGCATTAAATGTATGTTAAACATATATTCTTTTGATTACTCATTTCTGATTCAAACATATATTCTTTTGATTAAATATATGTTAAACTGTGTAGCATTGCAGAGTCCATTGGCACTTACCTGTTCTTGAGTAGCAGCAGGTCGTACTTCATAGGCTCGTAATAGCACCTATCCAATAGACCCTGAAACTCTAGTTATCTCAATCCTAGTATTTCTCCTTCATGGACTTTGTTTTTTGGCAGCATCTCTTTTGGACCTTTGATTAATCTTGAATCCGCATATTTCCTTCTATCAGAAATTACTGACCCATGCTAACTTGTCTGCTATGTAGCATACTGATGTCCTATGGATTGAAATTTTTTTGTTAATTCAAGATTATTTTACATCAGTTTCGGTGCTGCAAAACTGCCTTCCATTCGTTCTATTCTTATGCACCATCATGTTCATTTTAGCCATTGGATGATTCTTTTGGACGGAATAGGGTCTTGTATGCATCTTTTAAGTTTTTTGCTCCATCCACATTTATCTTAGGCTGAAGTTGTTTATGTTCCAGACACGCAATGTTCAAGGGAAATGAACACAAAAGGTTATTATATCCCAAGCCGAGGATAGCATTGAAGAGTGTTTTTTATGTTGACCATGCAATGAATTCCAAATAGGCTGAATGTGAAAATAGAAAAGGAAAAAGAATCTTAAAAATTCAAATTGAAGACAGAGTATGTTTAATGAATTTGAAAGGGTATGCTAGTAACGGACGAATTATAATTTAAGTTTAACAAGCCTAAGGGGTAGTTAGGTCTAGCAGGCAGAACAGCTGATCGGCTCCTTTAATGTGATTCATCCTCATCAGAGTTCAGCGGAGCTTTATGAAATAATTTCATACTGCTAAACTCCACGTTGAAGTTACTCCACATTTCTTTGTTATTACCATTTTTAGCAGTAGAGTAGTTGGGAGTGAGTTGAATTCGGTTTTACCAAATCAAGTCGTTGCATATAAACGAGTTGTCAGCATTGACAATGACGAGAAGCCCTTATTTGTATCTACCTGACAGCAGCTAGTTCTAATAATTGGTTGTTGTAGTCATGGCAGAAATTTCTGGGATGTTTGTTTCAGATATCTGGAGAAAATTCAAGAATAAATACGTAGGAAACAATCCATCTCAATGTTAGTCAGAATTGGGCTCTACTCTTGTTTTGTGATTTCAATTTGAAAACCCTATTACATATATTTCTCAAGTCTGCTGCAATTTTGTAATTTTTTAAGTTAGTTGAGATGCTGAAGCACAGATAGATTTCAGATTCAAGAACTTTTTAACTTTAACTTGCACAATGCAATGTATGAAGTTGTTCCTGATACCTTTGCGATGTTTCTGGCAGCATATACTCGGAGCTAAGTAATTCTGCAAAGGAACACAGCCCGCAGCCTACAGTTGAGCAGTTTCTGAGTCTTCGTGCAAGCCTAAATGGTGCTTGCATAGTTGCTGACTCCCTATTGAAAACCATTCCTGATGGTTCATCTGTAGATCATGAAAAGAACGCAGTGGAAGAAGCACTAAAAGTAACATTAGACAGGCAAAAACATGCTGCTTCCTGGGTTCAGGCTGCCTTAGCCACCAATTTATCATCCTTTGCAGTCTTTACCAGAGAACCTCAATCGTCCAAGCTTCCAGCTTCAAGTAATGGTCAACATCAAAAGACTATCCTTGGAAGTCAGCCCATGTTGGTTCTAGAGAATGCCAGTGAATATGCTTCTTCGAAACTTCAGGTAAAAACCCGTTCAGTGGTCAATTCTAAACATGTAGTGCAAGGAACTCCTCGTCGATCAAGTGATGGGTTAGCAAATGGACAAAAGCAGCCACCTCAACCTTGGGTTAAGGGAAATGGGCTTGATGAGGTGGTAAATTTAGCTGAAATGCTACAGTCACGGTCCAGAGACTGGTTTTTGGGATTTGTCGAGAGATTCTTGGATACTGAAGGGGAGGCAATCCTGTCAGATAATGGCCAAATAGCTGGTATGTTATCTCAGCTAAAGAGTGTAAATGATTGGTTAGATGAGATAGGGTCGAACAAGAATGAGGCAGAATCCTGCCAGATATCATCAGAGACTATTGATCGTTTGAGAAAGAAGATATATGAATATCTTCTAACACACGTCGAATCTGCCGCCGCCGCACTCAGTGGTGGATCACAATCATCACCTCGGATCGAAGCAACAGAAACTAAAGCAAGAAGGTAAAAAGTAGGTAGATACTTCAGCTGAAGGATGGATTGTTAGGGTGGAGGGGGAGTGGCTACCTCGCCCGGCGAAGTTGATCTGGTCCTCCTAGCTTCCCCCCTCCCCATAAAAGATTGCTTTTTCTTCTCTTTTTGTACATAAATCCTGCATTTGTTTGAGATATAGGTGGAGTGGCAAATTATTATCAAGGAAAGTAGCTACTATGAACTGCGAATATTTTTACCCCATTTGTCTGATAATTGTTCAAGTGAAATTATACGAATGAAAATACATGCGAAACTGATCTTTATTGGGTTATGGTGCCTGCCCACTCTAGTTTCAGGCTTCACATTGCAGGTAACAAGATATTGTAACTTAGGTATGTGTTCCGCAGAATAGAAAGGACTCTAAATGCCGTCAAGGTTTCGACAAGTTGGAGAGATGTAGATGTAATAGAAGCTGTGGTGTCCTGTGTAACGTTCATTTAGATCTCCAACATATGGTGAGGAAAGGAAGCTCAATTTAGGTCCGAAAACACGCTTGATGCCTGTCTTTGCGGTATATATCCAACCCAGAAAGAGAGAGCGGGATCTAAGGTTACACCTTCATTCTCGTGGCTTAATATCCGCCAAATCACATCACATCTAGCATCCATCCGCTAGGAGGCTGCGTCAGGATTTAGAAGCGATGAACTCTCAATGGAAATAGAACCAAGTTCCAATGGTTATGACCAATTGTTGCTAAGAATGAGGTTGCTTGTTTAGTTGAGTTTCCAATTCGTATTTAGATAGGGTGGTCAAGTCAGATTTAACTTTGAAGTGGTAGACAACCCGAAATCCATGTGCAAAGCAGAGGTCCAAAATTTGGGAGAGTGACCAGGGGAGCGAGCGGCACGTGGTTCGACAAAACGCAAGTAGCCTCGAGCATAGAAGACGAAGGAGTAGGGCAAGCGCCGATTGGACTGACTATGACCTGCCGTCCTAAGTCCTAACCAAGCATGCCTTCTTGGTTCGATATTTTACGAATCCTCCCACTTGTTCATTCACGGTTGACTCAGACTGTGTTCACAGTTGACTCGGACTGTGTCTGATTGTCACTTGTTTATTAGGCAGGGGATTTCCTCACAAGTATAAATCTTATTTTTACTCATGACACTTCCTATTATGAGACTTGCGACAATGTAGTTTTGTAGTGCACTTGTAATAAAATCTAGTTATAAAGAAAAAGAAAATAGTTTTGCAATTTAAGTGCCTATTTGGTTCCCATTCTCATGTTTTATTTTTAAAAACTATTTTGTAATACAGTTTTTAAAATTATTTTTGAAATAAAATAAAAAATTCATTTAGTTATGTGAATTAAAAAACATTTTCAGAATTAAGAGATAAACACATAATAATAATAATTATAGGCAATTAATAGTGATGATTAATGATACAAATTGGTCAAGGTAACTATAATTTTTAATAATTATATATGAAATATTTTATAAATAAGAAAAATAAAATGAAAACAACTTAAAGTTGCTTCTATTTTTTTAAATAAAAAATAAAATGATTTTAGAAAAAATTAAATAAAAAATACTTATTCAAATAAATTTTTTATTTTTTATTTTTTTAAAAATAAAAAACAAACATGCCTTAATACTCCGGTGGAATTTGTTCAACATACCATGCTGCCATACTTTCAATTTTGATCTTGACGTGGATATTTGAAATAGTTGGTGATAATTTTTTGAATTATAAGGCCACACTAAAATCGTGCAAAGGGAATAAAATCTAGTCATATTTAAAATTATGAGATTTCTACAATCGTGCGGTGGTATATCAAAAATCATAATATTAAATGTATCATGTAAAGGCCGGTGAGCTAAAAGATCAGCACATTTGTTTGTTTCTCCGTGAATATGGTCAAAAGTGACCATCCAATTTCTCATAATAAGGTCTTTAATTTTCCTGATAGTGTCAAAATAAGGATGACTCTCAAAGTAGGTGCGATTAATGAGTGACAATGCCTCCATCGAATCAAAGTGGATGTTGACTCTTGATAATTTTACATTCCAACAAAGATTTAATCCCCCAAGAATTTTTGTAAGTTTTGCTATCGTGTTAGGTTAATATCTACAATACTTAAAAAATTTATTAATTTAATTTTTTTTATGATCTCTAATGATATCTTCACAGTTACAGTTAGGGCTATGCAAAAGTCTCGTGGTCTCGTTCAGTCCGGTCCGACCCATGAAAATCCGATCCTGTCCAGTCCTATAAAATGCTGGTCCTATAGGACCAAAAAGACAGGACTAATTTTTTAGGTAAGACCAGACTAGAGATCAAGCATCTGGACTAAGTGGTCTGGTTTGGTCTTATATAATTATTTTAATATAATTAAAATTAATTTATAAATTATTAATTAATAAGCCTTAGACAAAAAATCTTAATCCTGCCTTGCACTTTGCACTCTAATCGAAAAAAAAAACCTCAACATTGTTACTCAACAGCACTTAGCGTCTCAACCACTCACTCAACTTTGCTCTCATTCTCAATTTCTTCAGTGCGCCAAAGCCCTAGCCCCTGCCTTGCACTTTGCACTCTGATCTTGATCTGTTCAAACTTTGAAGGAACATGTCTATGGCTTGATTTTTATTACTTCTGTTCTTGCTGATTTTTTTCCTCTGGTCTATTTTCGGTCTTTCCTCTGATTTTTTATTGGAGTTATGTATTTAAATCATTTGGAGTTTAGACTGTAACTAAAATATTATTTTCTTGCTGTTAGAAATTATTATGGATTTATTATGATTATAAGTGTTTTTATTATCTTAATTGAGTTTGTTAAGTTGAAATAGATTATTGGTCATCATAGAGAAAAAAAAAAAGGCCAAGTGAGTATTGAACTAATAGGATCAGTCTCCCAATCTTATGGATCAAATCCAGTCCTCTTAATCCTCGAGTTTTTACAGGACCAGACCGGACTATAGGTTACCTAACCCAGTCCTTTTTATGAAAAGGACCAGACTTTGAGTTAGATTAAAGTTCAGTCCCGTCCCGTCTTTTATGCAGTCCTAATTACAGTGCCATTAGTGGTAACAGTTGGTGATAATTGAGCGAACATGATGAAGAATTAATTAATATACTGATTGTGTGGCCCTCAGAGCTTGCTGCGTCCAGGTCCAGGATCGAGTGTTGGAGACTTCGACGCAGAACAAAGCCAAGATTCAAGACAGGGGTAGGGGTCGTTGGTATAGGCCGTGGGCCTCAGATTCACTGACGAAAGTAACATTAACAGGAGCTACAGTGACGTACATAACCATTTCCCCTCCGCACAGAATCAAAGGTCACCGCTCGCTCACTCCATTTTCCTCCACAAAACACGCACCTCCCTTCTTTGATATCTCTGTTGAAAATGCAACTCATTTTCCACAAATCATCCAAAACATGTTTTTCTCTCTATTCGTTCTTATATTCTTTCCATCTTTTAGGCGCCTGAAACTTGATAGGTGTATCTCGCCACTGCCCAAGGCCACTCAATCTCATACTAATTGTAATTTACCAGTCTATTCAAGGATCAAATTTATAATAAGGTTAAATTCCACCAATCCAGTTATTTCTAGGTGCTAAAAATATTTATGAAAAAAGATTAAGATACACATAACCTCTATCAACTCCACGTCTGTCGCATGTAACTCTATCATCTTTGCACGTTGCCCTTGTCTATCAAAATCAGACCATGAATCCCTTACCATAAAAAATTTGGGCCTATTTGACAATTTATTTTGAAAATAGTTTTCTATTTTTCATAACAAAAAAAATAAAAAAAATCTATCTGGTAATATGTTTTTAAAAAGTGTTTTAGAGAACAATAAACAAAATATTATTTTAAAGAACAGAAAAATAGAAACAACTTTCAAGTATTCTAGAATTATTATTCTAGAGAACAAAAAAATTAAAAAAATATATTTTTATTATTTTTTTTGTTCTTAGAACATATTTTACAAAACACTAATTCTCAAAATAATAAAATAAAAACAATTTCAAACAGCCTCTTAATTCTTGCTTTATTATTCCCTTCAATTAGTTAATTAACATGTGTCAATATTTACATCATGTTTTGTTCAACTATATGCATTTTGATTTGGTTTTATACTTGTTATGCTTGATGTTTGTTTGTTATCTTTCAATTCAATTATAAATCAATTTTATCTTTAAATGTTAAATATATTTTTTTTCATTGCCACCTTAACTTTAATTTGTTGTTACTTCACTATTAGTGAGTCCTATATTGTATATTTTTTTAATAACTTTTATCATAATATATTAGTTAAGGGTCATTTTTCTCTTTTAACTTGACTCCAAATGATCAGCGAGCACTTCAAACTCAAATATTTTGTGATAAGAGCCTATTAACAGTAAAATGTTAAGATGATAAGAGAGAAAATCTTTAATATTGAAGTATAAAATTGACCCATAGGTCTTGTTTGCTTATTAGAAAGAAATGAAATAAAATGGATTGAAAAAATAAAAATAAAAATAAGATAATTATAAGGGATAGGTGAACATATTCATAAGAGAGATATGCAATTTGGTTCATGGAATTAAAAATCATGATTCAAGAGATTTTTAAAAGGTGTAATAATTTCAACGTTTATAGCATATATTAATGAGTTTCATCATGCTTACTATAGTAGAAAGATGATTTAATTTATTTTTATCTTGATTTTTTAATCAATTTCATTATTTTCTTTTTAGTAACCAAACGGAATTATAGTTGAATTTATAATGTGCAATAATCTTTAATATAGTTGAAAGCTAAAAATGATTATCATCTTATTTGTTATGGAAGATGACGTTAAATTTTAAATTTGTCAATGTGGTATGAATAATGATACACGTGCTAAACACGAATGCCATTAAATTAAATTAAAATTAAAATATTGCATTGGTGCTGGTTTGGAAAGCGATTTATTCACATTTGGATGTATGATTTGGGAGAAAACAAATGGCTCGGAGATGGGGAGGCGGTGGGAAGAGGCTTTTCAAGAAAACAGTAGTGTGGCTAGCCTGCCAGCTGCATCGGTGCCAACTCACATCCCACGTTCCGTCTTTTTAATTTCTCTTTGCTTTTCTTCAAGCCATGATGCCCCGCTTCCTTCCTAAGGCCTCGTCTGCCATGGCCACCTTCCCTTGCTCTAGGGTTTGTCATTCTCTTTTTTCTCTTCTATTTTTTTCTCTTTCCTGAATTCTTCCCTTGCTCTAGGCCTCCTCTTCTATTTATTCAAGTATTTCCCAAAATTCGATTGCCCTCTTCGATTTCTTGGTTGTGCTGATTTCCCTTCAACTTGGGGGCGAACTAGAGCAGAAAATGGATGTTTTCCTCGATCCTAGCACTGGATGCCTTACTTCCATACGTATCTGCATTTTTAATTCCCCCCCTCCTTCCATTTTCTCCTCTGTCCTACTTGTACATATCTTGCATCGTACATCCCATCACTGTCTTTAATTTTTTCTCTCGCATTGTTGGGTGTTGTTTTCCTTCTGTGCCTATAATCATGGAAAGATATTTTTATATTCCCTCTCCCTCCTCGTTACTCTTAGAAGAATTGGACTGGCTGTTTTGCTCGAGACTTATGTGATGACCTGTGTTTTTCATATCTTCATTCGATAACTTTACCCTGCTTCTTTTCTTTTGTTTTTTTTTTTTTTTCAAAATCTATCCTCGCGTATGGTGAAACGTGGACATTGCAGTTGTAACAGAGGTTGCCCGTGAACTAATTAGTATATTTTTTTAAATTCGATGTCCATAACTTTCTATGTTGTAACATAGCAAGAGCCTGTTGATCCTTTATTCTGCGTTGTGAGGTCGTTATTTACTTCGTTTCACGGTAATGGGATTTTAGTATCTCTGTCTCATAGGTGCGAAGTGGGTTTTGCGTGTGGCCGGATGTGAGGCAACTTTGCTTCAGAAAAAGTCTTCTATATGGTTTTATGCGACTCTTTTCTACACCATTGAAGACATTACGTGGAGCTAGTCGATCACTGAGAGTTAATCGATTCTGCAGTGTAGTGACCATGTCTTCCACATTGCAAATTGAATTGGTGAGCGGTTCTCCCTTATTTAGGTTGTCAAGAATTCTATTATCAGAGCCTAAAGATTTCTGAATCAATTTGCTGAAAGAGTTAACATAACATGTGCGGTCTTATCTCACCATTATTTTCAAATATAATTTTCAGGTGCCGTGCCTCCGGGACAATTATGCATATCTCTTACATGATGAAGATACAGGGACAGTGGGTGTTGTTGATCCTTCGGAAGCTGTGCCTGTTATTGATGCTTTGAGCAAGAAAAATCGTAATTTGACATACATACTGAACACTCACCATCATCATGACCACACTGGTGGGAATGTAGAGTTGAAAGCAAGGTATGGAGCAAAGGTATGGTGTTTTTATATTGTTGCGAACCTTTATCCGTTTTTAATTTTAATTAATTTTTAAATTTTTGATGGTGCTTTCATATTGTTGCAAAGCTTTATTTGCTTTTAATTTTAATTAATTTTTGAATGTTTCACTGTCAGATAAACATCATCTAAAAATATTGTTGGTTTGCGTTTGAAGTCCATTTTCCCATGCAAAGAACATATTTGAAGTGAGGATTTTGCATTGCTCTGTTTGTCTCACTTCTGCTTTTGTGTTATGGAGTGTTTTCCTTTCTCACCTTCCCCTCCCCAACCTTCTTCTTTCCTTCTTATCCCCTCCATGGTGGGGGTTGCCTCTACCTTGCCCAGCTCTATACCACCATGCATTTAAACATTTATGCCCACTTAATAAATAATGATCATAATTTTATAAAAGTGCATTGTTGTAAATTTGGCTGGACCAGTCACTCACATGGTAGAAGCTTTTATGACTGATTAAGCATTGGAATTGCTGAATTCTGTTGTTAGTGTTATTTTTATATTGTAAGATGTGATTGGGTTTGAGTTTACATTTTCTGTATTATGTCTATTTAAGCCAAACTTAAGATTTGTTGAAACAGTTCTATGAGTATTTTTTTTCCTTACTTCTTTATGCATATTCTTTCCTTGTTGCATTTTAGGTGATTGGTGCAGGGGTAGACAGGGAAAGGATTCCTGGTATTGATATTTATTTGAATGGTGGAGATAAGTGGATGTTTGCAGGCCATGAGGTGCTTATAATGGAGACACCTGGTCATACCCAAGGTCACATTCATTGCCTAATTGTATTAGCATATCTCCTTAAGGTTGATCTATGTTAGTTGTAATTCAGGATCAAATGATGAAAACCAGCTCAATTGGTGCTTCTCTGGCTTTTTTAGTGTATGGCATTTTGGACTCAAGTGGCATCATGTAGTCTTCAAGTATTTTCTTGTCAGTTATAATTCAATGATATCTAGTACATCTCTTCTATCAATATGATGTTCTGTAATTGACCTTGAGTTTACTGACTATCAATGTAATTTAGTAAAAATGCTGTATATTGCAAAGATGTAATAAGGAGGACATTGGAGTCGAAAGGTTTTCGTCTGAGTAGAAGTAAGACGGAATATTTATATTGTAAATTTGGTAAAGGACTATTCGAAAATAATTTGGAAGTGAAATTGGGAGATCAAATTATACCTCAAGTGGAAAAGTTTAGATATTTGAGAGCCATTATTCAAAATGATGGCGAAATCAGTGGAGATATTTCACATAGAATTCAAGCTGGGTGGTTTAATTGGAGAAAAGCTAAAGGAGTTATTTGTGACCGTAAGGTGCCTAATAAACTTAAAGGAAAGTTTTATCGTACTGCTATCAGACCGGCAATGTTATATAGTAGTGAATGCTGGGCTCTAACGGGACAGCAAGAGCATAAAGTTGGAGTAGCAGAGATGAGAATGTTACGATGGATGTGCGGACATACACGTAAAGATAAAATTCGAAATGAGCACATACGTGAAAAAGTGAGGGTGGCACCTATTGAGGAAAAAATGGTAGAAAATCGGTTGAGATGGTTTGGGCATGTACAAAGAAGACCAAGGGAGGCACCAGTGAGAAGAGTGGAACATATAACTTTGAGTCCGATTAAGAGAGGTAGAGGAAGGCCTAAGAGAACACTCTTGGAAGTTGTTGAACGTGATCTCTTAATTAATAATATTTCTAAAAGCTTAATAAATGATAGAGCACAATGGCGTCTTGCAATCCATGTAGCCGACCCCACCTAGTGGGATAAAGGCTTGTTGTTGTTGTTGTTGTTGTATTGCAAAGATGTAATAATGATTCTGATTTCTGATGAGCAATGCAACCATAGCTATTTAAAACAAAGTTCCTGATATTCAGTTACTTTTTGACCCCATGCAACCATAGCTTTTCTAATGGCTCTAAACTTAGTTTTCTCTGCTATTTTATTGACCCTATCCTTGTTAGTGTTTCAAGACACATAAGTTCTTCATAATCAAACAATTTCTTAAATCATTTAGCCTCACCAAATCTCAAATATTAGCTTCCTTTGAATTGGCTGGACTTCACTCTAGTGTTTATTGTACTATGGTTTGGGTGGGGCCTTCTAATGAAGGTGTCTGATTTATTACTTAAAGTTAGGCTATTTCTTCTGCATGCCTGAATGTCATTTTCTTTATATGATTTTGTTCCTTCAATGCCTTGATCCCCATTTTGTAAATTTGTCACATGTCTATGCTGAATGCAGGTCACATAAGCTTCTATTTTCCTGGATCTGGAGCAATTTTTACTGGGGACACTTTGTTCAGCTTATCATGCGGCAAGCTCTTTGAAGGAACCCCTGAGCAGGTTGATGTGAATTGCATTTATTTTTTCATATTTTGATGTTTGAGAAATATATCTTAATATTTAAGTGGCTTTATTTTTGGACGTCTTTATTGCATATTTTTGCTCTTTTACCCCCAGGCCAAAAGTCCTTAGGCATGCCTGCTAAGGACTTAATTACTTGAATTATAGTTATGTAAATGGCAGAGTAAGGACTTTATTATATTGTGATCAGAACGTTAACACAATAATTCTGAATTTTCTATTAAAATTAAAAATATGTATAAAGTATGTTGAAGTGATTGTTTAAGGTTTTAATTAATATGAGATTAGGGCTGCTTTTCTGTTATCCTTACGTTTGCTGTTCTTAAGTTGTTGATATAGAAACTGAGCCTGTAACATACGCAATGAACCCATAAATAATCTGTTATGTGATTTTCAGGAGTTATCATGTTATTGTTATTATTTTTGGAGTAATTGTACTAACATCTTTCATATTTTCAATGTTGAACACGTGTTTTTGAGTATGTATGAGTTGAAAATTTAACATGCATTGTTGCATATGTTGTTGCCTTGTCAAGTTTGTATGGTTATATAAACAGAAGTTTTGGCTTTTTTGTTGTGTCAAAGTCAGGTGACTAATAATCTTGTAATGTTGATTTTCATTTTTAATCGTGGAGGATTTTGATTTTCATTATCTATGCCACAGATGCTCGCTTCTCTAAGAAAGATCATGTCATTGCCAGACGATACAAGTATATACTGCGGTCATGAATACACGTTGGTTAGTTACTTTAATTATACACGCTCAATTTTCCCTGTTTAACTCTTCAGTCTCAAGCATTATGAACTTGACCCTTTGAACTTTCACAGAGCAATTCAAAGTTTGCACTATCTGTAGAGCCATCAAACAAAGAACTTCATTCCTATGCAGCCCATGTAGCCCATCTTCGGAATAAGGGCTTGCCCACGGTAATTTTTAGAGCTTTGCTTCTCTAACGTTGAGGCGTCCTTTCCTTACTCTTCCCTTCTGGTTTCCCCTTTTTCTCTTTGGATAATTAATAAATTTACTTATTTACATTGCTGGTAATAAGGCTTATAGTTAAGGGACAATGAACAAGACAGGTGAAATCAATCATTGGTTAACCCACGGTAATTTTGTTCAACACTGTAATATTTTGACAGGAAATCCTGAATTATCCTTCCTTCGGCCTTCACTGAAACTTAGTTTTGAGGGAGAACTAACTGTAATGTGCCTTGAATAGAAAATTTATCAGTTTTTTTTTTTTTTTTTTGGGTGTACAAAGTTGATCTGATGAAAAGCTGACTTCGTTATACGTCTAGACAAAAGAAATAAAAGCTGGCCATACTTGAAACTTGATATTCTGCTTCCTGGAGCTTTTGGAGCTTAAAAGTGTTAGTTAAACCGTCACCGTGCTTAGTGCAGAATTGCTGATAGAATGCAGTAGGATCCATTCATGTTCTTGGGTTTAGCGGAGCCCCTTTGGATCAGTTGGTTCAAGGTCTTTTTAGGTTTTTCCTGTCTCCAATTCGTAGATAATCAGGAAAGTAAAGAGGGTACATTAAAGTTCTTTATTGATATGTTGCAACCCCATTATTTTGTCTTGCATGCTTGCGGCTATCTTTATGGTTTCCGCATATTTGGTTTATTTTTTTGCTGAAGAAAAAAATTAATGAATAATTGTTTACCAGATTCCAACCACCCTGAGGACGGAAAAGGCTTGCAATCCATTCCTTCGTACAATGAGCGCAGAAATTCGGCGGTCTTTAAACATTGCAGCCGCAGCAGATGATGCACACGCCTTAGGTGTCATCCGCCAAGCAAAAGATAATTTTTAGGCCTTTTTCAGTTTGAAATTATAAAATTCTAATTCTATATATGCTTATTCTGTATAGATTAGGATAATGAATCTATCTCGAATAATTGTTCCTTGATGCTATGTCTTTGTAGAAATTTTGTGGATGCTTCATTTGAGTCCAAATGAGAGTGATAGCGCCAGATTAGATTTGGGTCTGTTGGCATGGTGGGCTTCAGAATGATTTACTGGCTGAAATGCTCAAGAATGATCTGTATATGTCGCTATATTATTCATATATGGTGGGATAGAATGTTGTCTTTCTATTCGTCACCTAGGGTGGTACGATAATAAAAAACCGAAAAATGTTGAAAAATAGCTGGTTAAATAACTGCTTAATTTTTTTATATAAAAGTATTAAATACTTCTTCCGCTTTCATGTATAATTCACATTTTAAAAAAGTTTATTTAGTTTTATCTATAAGTTATGGTATGGCTTTTTGAGTAATATTTAAAAATTATTTTCAAAATTATTCTTCATAAAAAAAAGTAATATGACATTATTTTTTAAATTTATTATATATGTGTATATTTAAAATTTTACATATTTATTTTTTATATTTTTTTACATTAATATTAATAAAGTTCATCGAAATTATTTATAAAGAAAGTCGGATGAGAATTTATTGAAGTTTTCAGAGGAGACAATATGGGTGGACTCGTGTGTAAAAGCAGGTCTACTTGGAGGGTGGGTTTATAGGCACGTGACAATGGAGGAGAAAAGTGAAGGCTGAAAATAAAGGAATAGTTTAGTGGCGCAAAACAGTGCCATTCTACAGCAAAGCAAAGGGATTGTACCTGGAGGGACATTGTTATGTAGTTGGAATTTTTCTTGCGACTTCAGAACTTAAGCCCCCGTGGCGAAGTCTATCATCTTTCCTCACTGCTCCTCTAATAGAGGAGGCCTTTGGTTCCACTTGGGTCCGCTGGTTGATTCGCCTCTCTGCTCCCATCGTGAGACCCGTTTAGGTGCATGTTATAAGGCAGCCAGAACCAATGATTTTACATGAAGCACAAGTGCTAATAATCTTATAAGTATATATTGACAAGAGCATCCACGTAAGGCTGACATGTATGGTGGGAGAAAACCAGAAGTGGCTGATGCCTTGACACTAGAAAGCAGATCCATGATGATTATACTTGTTATATATGGATGCGTGTGATGTTTGATAGGATGAGCAGTTATCATTTGATAAGCCAGCCACGAATGTTTGAAATAATATTTTGAAACCCGGGCCAAATTAGTTTGATCCAAACGCCACCCATTGATTAGAACGGTTTGGTCCAACCGCCACTGGTTAATTAAAATAATTTGGTCCAACCAATTAAACTAATTTAACATTTGGACTGGGTTGACTCGATTGGTTTAAGAGAATTAGATTTGAATTGAAAATTAAAATAGATCAACCCGGTCCAAAAAAAAATCAAGACTAAGTCACTTGGATTCATGATTTTTTTTTCTTCAATCTTTAGTTCTTTTATGTCTTCTCTTCTGTAATGTCTAATCTCTCTTTTATGACTCAAGCTCAATCTCTAATCTCTCCTCTAGCCTTTGCGTTCAGCTCTAGTGATTTAGTCTCTAGTATTGAAATTAAAAGTTTGTGAATCATGATATGATGACATGCCTTTAACTCCAGTGTTTTGTTTTGAGATCACGAGTTTGTACCAACATGTCTCTACCTCCAACTCTAGCGGTCCAGGCGTTTAGCCTTTGGTGTCGAGATCCTAAGTACTATAGACAAATCAATGCTTTATTTATATATTTAAGTGTATGAACATTATTTTTATTCAATTTTTATATTATCGGTTCAACTGTCTGTCTAACCTATTGAAACATGAAAATCATGACCTTTTGCTCTTTTTGGTTTGATATTCAATTCGAATTTTAAAACATCAGTATGAAAATATGTTAGAAGTGATTTTTGTAACTTTTTTAAAAATAGTTATTCTTATATTACGTTGATCAAAACCATCTTTTAACCATAACCAGTGGGTTCTAAAAAATATACACGACAGTGATACGAGATTGCCAGTGCCGGACAACGTTTCCAAAATCAATTCTGAAATGTTACAAGCTCTCCGTTCGTCAGGGTTCGTGCATGTTGTTTAATTGTTTTGGTCCTTTTGGACCCATGGTTGGGTCACATAACCCTGGGCCACACGTCATCTGCTGCATTCTTCACCCTGACCCTCCATTGTTTGGTCGAACTCCTATTAAAATTCTTAAGAATTCTTAACATTAAATTAAGGGAGAATGACGATTGAGGACCAGTTAAGGGCATTAATCCCAAGTGGGGACCTTAAAATATAGAAATGCTAATTAAGGACCATGGTCTTTATTTAGGATTAAAAAATAAAATAAATTTTCGAAACTGTCCCTGAGGGAAAGAAGCAAATAACCGCACAGACCAGAGCCCTACTTGCTTTGTTTTCTTGTCGCGGTCGGGTGGTTTCTCGTCTTGGCTCACTGGTGTTCATTGTCATTCATGAAGTTCTCCATAGAAGCTGTAGGATTGTGCAATCGTCAGTGAGAGGTCTTCTCCAGCATTGGTCATTTCTGTTGCACCGTCTGTGTTGTTCCATCACACTCTCTGTGGAAGCTTCGACTGCCATTGCTCGGATTTGAGCTCTTCTATACTTCGCCCAATTGCAAAGGTAAGGATTTTCATTTATGAAGTCTCAAACTTGTAGTATGTTGTGGTTTACCTGTGAGAAATGTCAGTATAAAAAGTTTGTAGTCTCAAACTCGCTCGGACTGTCGCTGTCAGATTCTTTGTTTCTAGTAGAAATTAGTTATTTTTCGGCCTGAAAATTGAAATGAAAAATAGAACTTGCTCATGTTCCCAGTTCAAAATTTTGAGTTCCTTTGAAACGGAATGCTTCTCGTGTAAATAGCATTGGCTCAATTTTAATGGTTGGCATTTGTTGGAATTTAATGTTTTCCTTTGAAACAAAATGCTTCTCGTGTAAAAGGCTTAATGTTTATGAATGTTTGTCATTGATATTTTTCTTGCTAATGTGTACGACCTGAGGCAGGAGATGCTTATTTTGGAATGTTTAGTGATGTTTTAATATGTATAATATGATAAGGGAAAATGCAACGCCTTCTTTTACTTTCTTTCACCTGTAAATTGGCCTATGAACTTCTAAAACTGAGAAATTGGTCTCTGGACTTCTATCTTTATGAAATATGTCCTTCTATCTTTACTTCCATTTTTGAATTGGCTCCTCGTGTCTGCTTTGTATCATTCTTGGTACTATTTTTGCATCCTTGAAAAGCTGGACCTTGAGGCATCAAGAAATTCATAAGTCTAATTGAATCGTTTCCATTGTTAACCTTGTCACTCTTATCTGCAACATTATATTTGCTAACTTCCATAAATTTCCTTCTCTTCTCGAGTTTAGAAACACCAAAAATCACTGTTGGTCCTTCTTTATGAAGATCGGTTCTTGCAATGCTTTGTGTATCAGTTTTAGTTTCATTCTTGCTGTTCTTACCAATGTTAAACACTTTCTCTTTCTCTGCCAAATCAAGCAATCTCAATTCATTAGGATTTAGTGGCTCTACAGCCTCAAGGCTAATTAACGTCTTATCCTTCCCTTTGTAAGCAGCCCAAGGTTCCACCCTTTTCATGTGTTGGTGTGTGTGTGGGGGTGGGTTAGTGTTTACATTCTCCCCTTATAACTATTTGTCTTGAACTTATATAAACTTAAAATATCTTGTTTCTAATCATTTTTAATTTTCAATATAACGGCTAACTTTTGAAGAATTTAGTACATGGTGCATAATTGCGATGCTTGGTTGTTGCTCTTAAGCAACATAAATTGATTAGAGTCTGTATAGTATAGATTGAACTACAAATCAAGATTTTTCATAAGAGGCAAGACATTTATATCTTTTGTACAAAGAAATTCTGTGGAGAAAACTAAGATTTGATGTTTGGTGAATTCAATAGTGCTATTATGTGTATCCATTAGTAACGTTAGATATATTCAATAGTAGTTTGTTTTTAACCCCCATTATTTGTGTGCAGGACAATGGTTAAAACAAAAGGAAATCCTTTAAGGCAAAAAAGTTGTTTTGGCTTAAGCAAGTTTAAAGAGGCGTATCGTGGCAACTATACAACCCAAGGGAATGATTTGAAAAAACTCAACGCAGAAGCAGTTGTAGCATGGAGAAAGTTGTCATTAGAAGAACAAAATCACTATAAGCGTTTGGTTAAGGAGGAAAATGATGGTGTAAAAGCTTACGAGGTACGTTGTTTTTGACCTGAAGCATGAAAAATGTGATGAATTCAAGTAATGGTGCTGACTTGTTTTTCTACAAAGTGTTCTCCGTCAAAGATGAAGAAAGTTTTTGATTATATCAAAAAGCATAAATCTTTGAGGGATAGGGTTAATAGAATAGGATTTGGTAAGCTTTTAAATATTAAATGTTACAAGTTGCTTAGAGATTTGTGCGATGAAGTGATGAAGGTATTTGATCCTCCTACATCATCCCTTTTCATTAGAGGTCAAAGGAAAGTCATCAATGGCAAAGTGGTTCATGCCTCACTTGGCTTGCCTAATGATGGGGACATGGTTGATATGAATGGAGATAAGAATAAATTAAAGTCGTTAAACAAGGAGTTTAAAAAGTATCCTATAATGTAATAAAGGACAGGATACTCTTGGGGAAAGAAAATGATAAATTTGAGTTTCTCTTCATTCTCTATTACTTAGGAAATTTTCTTTGTTCAAGTTCGAGTTCCAAAATAAGTGATAAACTATTGAAGGTCATGTCTGGATTAAATTTGGGAACTGTACATTATGATTGGCCATCCTTTATACTATCTGAGCTTGAAAAGGAGATAGCCGAATATAAAGCATGAGAGAAGAAGGATGGACACAAAAAAACTATTAAAGGATGCTTATTTCTTCTTGCGGTATGTGGATAAATTCAGATATAATTTGTTATAAGTTAATTATTTTGTAAAATTCTGTGGGTTATATGATATAGATGTAAATATGCAAATTTTCTACTTTTAAATGTTTCCATTGAAGCCAATTGAGGTGTCATTGCAAGAAGATGCTCTGGAACATTAGACAGAGGAGAGAGTGACAGCACGAGTTCAACTTGAGAAGGCAAGTGATCATGGCATTTTGTATCACCCTTCTTGAGGACATGACAGCTTCTCAGTAAAGCTTCCAGAAATGACTTCATTTTATGATCCAATAAGGGCAAAATGATGATTGTTAATTAGCAAAGTTATTTTTTATATAATTTTAAATATATGATATTTTATATGGTGCAGGACATAAAAAAGGTATACAGAGATATTGTGACCTTTACACGTGGAATTGCATAAAGACTCCTTAAGCTCCAAGATAAAAGAAGAGGAAAGGAAGTTGTTCAACAGCATGATGGTGAAGAGGAAGAGGAGAAAGAGTTGAAACATGATGACAAAGAAGAGGAAGGAGAAGAGACAGGAGATGAAAATGAAGAGGAGGGAGAATTTAGAGAAGATGAGAAGGAGGAAGAGGAAGGATAAGTAGAAGGAGATGAAAATGAAAAGGAGGGAAAATCGGGTGCACATGAAGAAGTAGAAAAGCCAATTAGAAAAAAAGATTCTAAAGGTGAAATGACACTAAGACGGTCATAACGACAAATAGTCAGCACTATTCATTCACCTTTTTTGGATGATAGAGGGAAGGAAAAAGGAGGACATGAAGAAAGAGGATAATATACAGAGAAAGAAGTTTACCAATACTGTATAAAGTCTATTCCACCCAATGAGGGACATGAGTATGATATTCAACCTTACTAGTTCATATATTCATAATCGATTGGTTGATATAATTTTGTTTTCTATAACAGGAAAATTGTAGAGATTGAGCAGTATTATCTGACAAGATATGAATGTAAGTGTCTAGGTCCTAGAGAATGGATCAGTAGTTCGGTGAGCACGTATGGTAGTTAAAATAGATCAAGTTATAGTAAAATTTTAATGTAACTGTAATTTTGTCATGTAGGTTGTTACATTAATTGGAAGACTTTTGGTCAATGAGCAAAAAGAAAAGGATCAACTTATGCGGCGGCACATTTTTGATCCAGATTTCACGGTTTGTCTTACGGTTTAATTCCTTTGTTTTATTAGGTGCTTACAAGTCACAAGTGTTACATTTTTTTATTTCAGAGAACCATAATCCACCAACAAAAAAGATGGGACTTGGATAGCCATTTGAAGGACTTTATGCCAATTACCATCGGGTATAACATAGGAGATTGTGATTTTATTTTTTTCCCTATAGTGTTTGCATTGCACTGGTTTTGCTATGTTGTGGAGCCGAAAACAGCCACAATATATTTACTGGACTCGATGCTACCATCTGGTAAAGAATCAAAGAAGAAAAAGAAGAATATAAAGAAAGTGAAGGAAGCGATGTTGCTGAAAGAGAAGGAAAAAATGACATATTTTATGGTATGCCTTTTCCCATATAATGATATATGAAATTTCTTGGTGAAAGCTTCTCATTCACTTTGTTCTTATTCTCAGAAAAGCAGGTTTGTAGAAATATTAATAAAACTAAAACCTAAACTTGTTGATGATAATTATGACTTAGAGTTGAAAGTGGTGCCTATGGAATAACAATCGACGACATGAGTAAAAAAGCTGAAATTGTATACATATAATTAAGTGTATATTTCCCAACTATGTGCTAACAAATTTTATATTTTTTGTAGATCTGATTGTGGAATGTATGTCATCTTTTGCCTTAGACAGTGGAATAATACTGCACGAGAGGAATGGGGCGGCCTTACTATACCTCCTCTAACAATGGTAGGAACAAATGTTAAAATTAAGATATAATTTATTATGTGCGACAGTTTTCTATCTTATGAGCTGACTTTATCTAATTGTGTAGGAACAATTGAATAAAATGAGGAGTGAGGTATTGTATTGATTGGTGACTCATCCACATAACAGAGTGGGCTCTCAAGTCATGACGTCCATTTCGAAGGCTTGGCATGCACGATCTAAAAGATTGAAATTATAGTGTAGACATTTGTGATATGTAAATTAAACCTTTATATAATTAAGTTTTTTTCCATGGCTTCTTGTATATGATACAACAATTAATTTTAAAAAAATCTTTGACTACATGTTTAAGAAATTTGACAAACCGTTATTGATTTTCATTGACTCACATTACTTTTAAAATTGACGTTCGGTTTTTCGCAATATATGTTACGGAATTTTCAAGTGAGGTTGGTAGAACACAAATTATGCCTAGCAGCTTATCCTTATATAATGAATTCCCAATTCACGTTAGGCTCTTTCAAAACATACATTCAGCTTTTTTTCAAGTTAAGTTAGGATATTCGCAAGAACTTTATTGGAACTTACCAAATTCTCATGTGAGGTTGCTGGAACAAAACTTGTGTCAAATGACTTATCCTTACGTAGTTAATTCCTAAGTCACATTAGACTCTTTCAAAACATGCGTTCACCTTTTTCCCAAGTTAGGTTAGGTCATTCCCAAGTGACTTTGTTAGAACCCAACTTGTGGCAGTACTTATCTTTTAACAATGAATTCCTAAGTCACTTTAGGAATGTTCACAACATACGTTAGTTATGCTTCCAAGATAGGTTAGGGAATTTCCAACTGAGGTTTTTGGAACCCAATATGTGGCAAGACTTACACAAAAAAAGAGTTCCCAAGTCACGTTAAGACATTTCACATTATACGTTAGCTACTTTTCTAACTCAGGAAATTCTCAGGTAAGGTTATCGAATCCCGATTTCTGACAGGTATCTTCTGATAAACAATGACACCCAAGTGGAGTTATTCATTTCACAACTTATGGTAGGAATTTTTCTTGCTTTGAATATGAAATTGCCAATCAACGTTATTGGTTTCCATTATCTGACAAGTCTCTTAAATGTTTGAAATACTGCAAAAAATTTAATGCCAAGTAAGGTTCTATGTTGTCAGTAGTTACATTAGCAATATCCTTATACTACGTTAGTAAATTCAACAGTCTTATGCCATGACAGCATTTTTACTCGGATAAATTTAGACCTGAAATTTTTATCAGCTTTATATTACACTGATTGCAATACATATACACCATATTTGGATCCCTTTTTACACAAAAAATATCCCAGCTACTTAAATGGTACTTATGCAGTCCTTATCAAAAAACAACATAGACTGCAATCTATTTACATAACCTATCACCTCCACAAGTATAAAAAACATATGAGGTGGCTACCTGTACAAAAGGTCATTCAACAGTAAATTCCACAAAATAAAGAAAAACTATATGCATTTCAATTTTAAACTAACTAATATGCATATGGTTTTCACCCCCTTTCAATCCCTACATTGGATTGGGATTCCTACATTTATTCTTGGTATGTCTAGATTGATTACATCTTGAGCAATGATACACATTTTTATTCTGAAACTGTGACTCTCTTCGCTTGGTAGGTGGTCGCCTTGGGGAATGTGTAGTCAGTGGTGGTTCTAAAAAGGTATTCTTTTCATAATCTTCATAATGTAGCTCAATCAACTGAGGCATGTCAATAGTTTTTACTGAAATCATTGTGGAGCTATAAATTTTTTCTTGTGTACGAATAGTGTAGCATTCTTCAACATATGAATACACATTACCCTGAACTAATTTTATTGCTACACATGCATGTGCACAAGGAATTCCTACCATTTGCCATTCTTGACAAGAGCATTCTCGCAATGTTAGATTCACTCTCAAGTCATTGTTTCCTACCTTCACTAGTATCATATTCACACTATAATGTTCAGCCACCATAACGTCAGCTCTCAATACATTCTCCCTCAATTTTGCCTCAACACGTGGTCCAACTCTGTTTGACTAATTTGCCATTTTTATCTTGCTATTGTATAGCTTCCTCGCTAATTTTGCTCGGTGTTTCGTGCTCATTTATCAACGCACATATATGATGTTTTCTCTCTTTCACTAACCAAGCATTGAAAGATTCAGCATGGTTTGATATTATATTGTCCCATCTTTTGTATGGAAATCTTGCTAACGCCCAACGATCTATATCCCCATTTATTTCTAACCATTTTGCCAACTGTGGGGAAAAAATCATTAAATGACCCATAACAACATGAAATTCTGTTTCCAACCTTACATATGCAATATTATCCAACAACTTAAGTGCATCTTCCTTGGTCATCCCATCAATCCTTCGGATGCCTCTATTAATTTTTGTAAATTCTGAGATGTAATTTTCTTTGACATGACGATAACAAAAAGCATGTTGATTGCCATCAAATATTGCACGCACTGCACCAACAATAGCATTATGCCTGTCTGACACTATGGTCAATTAAACTTGGTGTATGATCTCTCTCACATTTTCAAGAAACCAAGCCTAATTATCACATATTTCTCCACCTACTATTGCATAAGCCAAAGGAAATAAGTCATTATTTGCATCAATTGTAGAAACTGCCAGCAAAGTCCCCTTATATGGACCACTTAAATGACTTACATCGATAAACAAAATTGGACGAGCACCTTGAAGAAACCCTTTGATGAAGCATCTATATGCAATAAAAAGTCTATCAAATTTATAATTTGTCGAGGCAACCTACTTTGCAACTGTGTCTGGGTCCGTCTCCTTCAATTTCTCATAAAGTTACGGAATCAACATGTATGACTGTTGTGGAAGCCCATGTATTTCCTCCAATGCTCTATCTTTTCCCCTCAAAGCTTACCGATATGTGAGATTTAATCCATACTCTTTGTAGAGGTCTTGTCTTTTCTCATTTGAAGTTTTCTCCACATTCCCCCTCACAGCATTAATGATGATTGATGATATCAATCTTGAGTTAGCCTTTTGCTTTAATAGGAGGTTGTCTTGAGTAGAGTGCATGTGTTTATTGTGGAATTTTTTCACACATAATATAGAGGTTGTCTTCCCAAGAACATAAGTTGATATCTTCCATTTACAACCATCAATATTGCATTTGACAATCATCTTCTTAGGGCTGTTTCTCACAAATATGTAACCAAACCTATGAGCAAAGCTGTATTTATATAGTGTTTTTCTGAATACAATTACATCATCAAATGTCTGGCCAACTCTCATAAATAAATCCTTCCATTTTAACGAATTAACCTCAGGCAGTGGTGCAAGAGCATTTTGTGTTGAACATGGCAAAGAGGGTGATATACTTTCAAGTTTTTGCCTACACGGAGATCCTGGCAGTGACCATGTTATCAAATTCTCCATCCTACATTCACAATTACTTACAGGTCAATATAAATGGTCATTAAACTAATTAAACACACAAATAACTAAGAACAACAACTTACTCTATCGAATTATCCATTGCTCCATTTATTTCATTATCATTTGTCTCAACATACACATATGCTGACTCATCATTATACTTTATCAAATGTTGTACTCTCTCATCGTCTAACAGATCTATGTATATGTTTTCACTAAACTTCACTATAAATTTCAAGTCAGCTGCACCATTTTCAACTCCTGTCATTGATGACACTATCCTCAACAGCTCTTCATGATTTATGCCTTCTCTAATCAATTTAGAAATTAATCTCCCACCTTCATAGGTCATCTTTCCTTGTAAATCTTTTACAAAATGTCCATCAACATGAAGATAACAAAATACTTCTTTTGCTGAAGTACTTGCTATATGGGAAATAAACCTGGAACAACTACAAGCAACATACAAATTTAGTACTTCACAACTGTCCATTCCATAATCCCAATCTTGACTATATAAATTTAGCATCTATGTTACATTTTTCAACATTCACGCACTTTTCAACATAGATCACAAAAATTCAACATCCATGTTACATTTTCCTTGTTTTTCACTCCTCAACTTTTTCAACTGTGTTGTTCTCGAAAATCATTTATTCCGCATGTTTATATATAAAGTCTAGTAATCATTAAGAAGACTACTTTTTTTCTAGGTATAAAACAAAGAGAAATGGTGCAAGACAGCATTTGCAAAGATTAAAACATTCTTGCTGTGCGTGCGTGACAGAGGACATGTGTAAAAGAAGAAAACAGAGCAATAAAAGAGAAATGGAAGAAGAAGATGCAGACTTCTCTTCCATGCATGGCAAAGGACGAAATGTAAAAGAAGTAATGCATACAATTACCTATTAGAAGACGATTATGCTCCACTAATTTTTTCCTAACATTTTCAGCGCACGAGAGCACACTCCATCAATATTTTTCCCGCTAAAAAACAAGAAAACAGAGCACACAAGATGATCTTCTTTCTTGTTACCTTTTAATGTTTAGTGAGGGGTAGTTTTGTAAACTCAAGTTTGTTTTTTATCTCACTTAAAGACCATGGTCTTTAATTGGGATTTCTATTTTTTAGGATCCCTAATTAGAATTAATGTCCTTAGGGAGTCTTCAATTGTCATTCTCCCTTAAATTAAATCTAAATCGAAGCCTTCATCACCCGAATCGAATCAAATCGTCAAAAGTCCAGGTAGCTTATGTCTTCTTGATTTTCAGTCTAACCAGGTATCTCTTCCTTATCCTCTTGTTCGGACCTTAGGTCCCAATTTAGTTTATTTTTAAATTTTAATTTTAATTAAATCTATAAAATGTGCGGGACAATACAAGGGCCCCGAGTGTTTTGGTTTTGCAATTCCTTTCGTTCCGACATACTTCCAGTGCTCCTGTTGCTCTGCTTCCAATCTCTTCCCAAGCTTCTCTTTCTTCCCGTAGGTCACAGATCTCATTCTCTTCATTCCAAAACCCTTACCCCATACCCTCGATTGCCATTTTCTTTTCTCGTTTTCAAATTCAATCCGCTTTCTCTGAAAACCTCCCCGTTTTATTGCCTTTACAACTCTGTTTCGATCTGTTCGATCAAATCTTCCAGATTTCAATTCCATTTTCGAACAGAGGCAAGAAAACATAATTTCGTGACGCATATATTTATATATATACTGCCTGCAGGCCATAACCCAGAGCGCTACCTGGTGTATGGGTTCTAGGGTTTTGGTTTCGTTGACTTTTGAACGCGGAATCTGAGTTTTTGAGTCGTGCCTTTCAGACGTGCTTTCTGCTTCGATCTTCCAATTCTGAATTACTGCGATCTACGCAAACGCTACTCTGAGCGTGGCTATTTTACTCCTTGTAGATGCATTGTCTTTCGGACGACAACTTCTAGGATTCCAGCTTCAAGCTTCAAGGTGAAAGTCCCCGTTCCTGGTGACGTATCTTTGAATTCCGAGGTGCTTAAAAGTAAAATCCGTTGTATTTTCCTTTTTGTTGGAATTTACTTTTGATGAAAATTTGGTTGTCTGAGAAGTGAATAATCTGTTATTTGCCTCTTGCCTCTAGGGGTTTCCTTTCGTTTTTCGAGCGATTGGACAAGCGGATTCTCCATGGATAATGACAAATCCTCAAGTTACGGTGGAGGTCTTCCACCTTCGGGACGTTATTCAGGCTTCTCGCCTCCGGGAAGCTCCTTCAATGTGAAACCAGAAGCATCCTCCTCCTCCTCCTCTTTTCCTCCACTGGTACCGGGTACCAGCTCGGACTCTAGTTGCTTTAGTCATGATATTAGCAGAATGCCTGATAATCCTCCTAGAAACAGGGGTCATAGACGGGCCCATTCTGAGATTCTCACCCTGCCAGATGATCTTAGCTTTGACAGTGACCTTGGTGTAGTTGGAGGTGCTGATGGGCCCTCCTTTTCTGATGAGACCGAAGAAGACTTACTATCGATGTACCTTGATATGGACAAATTCAACTCTTCATCCGCGACATCAGCATTTCAAGTGGGTGAGGCTGCAGCATTAGCTCCGGCGCCAAAATTAGAAACATCAGGAATCGCCACCTCTCCTGCGGAGAATGCTGCTGTTGATACTAATGAAAGGCCCAGAGTTAGGCACCAACATAGCCAGTCTATGGATGGGTCAACAACCATTAAACCCGAGATCCTAGTGTCAGGTTCTGAAGAAGTTTCTGCAGCTGATTCCAAAAAAGCAATGTCAGCTGCCAAGCTTGCGGAACTTGCCTTAGTTGACCCAAAGCGTGCAAAAAGGTTTTTTTTTTTTTTGGGTTGTTTAAGTCTTCTTGTTTTGCCAATTTAGCTTGCTTTAGGGACCTGATGCAGGTTTTGTAATATATTTCTCTTGAGTGTATTTTATATATAATATGCAAACATCCCTCCACTGCGTGGTACAGGTGTGCCTTACTCTTATTTGCGCTGCCTTTTAATCTTGTTTTATGCATTATTGTTGAGCTTTAGATGTCAGAATTATGCTGGATTGTATTTTGGTGTATTCTTGAATCTGATTCTTAGACAATCTCGCATTGATGGACATTTGACTGACATTAATTGTTGAGATCGGAGAATTTAGACTGAATATGCTGAGTATTATCATGACGTGATTTTATTATTTGTCATTAGTGTTGCTGGGTTTTGAAATTCTGTCACTTGATATTTCTGCCCATTTGAATCTGATACTGAATCTTTTTAGTTAGGTTATGACTCCTGATCTATTAAAATACACTGGAAGTAGTCAAGGCAGGACCAAGCACGTTCAGTATAGTAGAGGAACTATTGAAGTAATGAGAAGTTAGACATTTTTGAATTAGTTGAATTCTACAAAAAAGACCAACGAAATTATATGAACCTCCTCTTATTGTTATACGTATGGCCCATACGCGTCATCAAATACTGCCTCTGTTTCTTTTTGTATGACAACTTTTAAAAGGTGTAGTTGGTTCTATTTGTAAGACACTTTGCAAAATCTAGGTAGTAATTAATATATGTTCCCCTCAAAAATGTCTGAGAAAGGGTTCTTTTAATTGGAAAAATAGATATTTGTGGAAAGATGAGATAATTTTAAAGACGTCAATTTGTTTTCTTGGTTTGTGTAAAGTAGGTAATTTTGTCTTGTTAAAATGGGGAGAGAATAGGTTTTTTTTTTTTTGGTTGCCCCAAATCAGTCAAATTATTGGTCCTTAGAGCAGCTATGCAAGGCAAGTGTTCTATAATAATTTGTTTTTTTCCTAATTGAACTTCAGTTTTGCTTCAGTTGCATGGGAATATGATGTGTTCTCGTAACCTTGACAAGAGAGTGAGTGAGAAGAGAACAGAGGAATAGGGAGTCGGAGAAATACACACTGAATTACTTCATTGAATGGTTCAAACCATAGGCACATATACAAAGTAGGTGTTTTATTTATAGACTCAGCGCCTCCTTACTAATTCTAATGATTCCAAGAGTCACTTTCTTAAGTAGCTACATAACATCATTCCCGTCACTTGGTAATTACAGATAAATACTCAAAGAATAACATCATGCCATTACCATTTGTGGTTTACCTTGTTTTCTTGAATCTAGTGGTGTCTAATATATCTTTCCAGAAGTTTTGTTGATATTGTGTTGTCAGAGCCATGTAAAAAATAGGGGAGTGTACTGCCTTTTAGTTTTGTTGGATACCATGACTAAAATTGGCATATGTGCCACAGGATATGGGCAAATAGGCAGTCTGCTGCGAGGTCAAAAGAGAGGAAGATGCGCTATATTGCTGAGCTTGAAAGGAAGGTGCAGACCCTTCAAACAGAAGCAACATCTTTGTCTGCACAGTTGACTCTCCTGCAGGTATTACCTCAGTGGATGATCAGCATATTATGGGAGTGAATGCTTTAAATGATGGTCCTTTGACCTTCAGTACTATGGTGGTTGGTTATTACCATGTTTCCTTTTGATTCAAAAGCTGATAGGAGAATGTTAATCGAATTTGTTTGTTTTTTCTCTTTTACTGGGCAGAGAGATACAAATGGGCTGAATGCAGAGAACAGTGAGCTGAAGCTGCGGCTGCAAACCATGGAACAACAAGTTCACTTGCAAGATGGTAAGCACATGCATACATGTTTCTAAGTTGTATGGCGTACCTTAGCATTGTTGTGAGTCTAATTTTATTAACTGACTACATAAGCAGTTAAGCCAGTTACTTTATTTTGATAATTTTCATTGGATTTAATTATCATAATTTTCAAGCATGACGTTGAAATCCATGAAAACCAAAATTTGGATTCAAGTTTTAGGTCATTGATTGCCAAAAGTCTTAGTTGATCAATGGTTCCGGAGTTAAGACATAAACAGTTCATCCTGATCTTTGCTCAGATAGATGGACTGATATGAATGCCTATGGCTGGTAAATCAATATCTACTCTATTTCAAGGGAGATTAGTACAATTAATCGATTATAATTGTTGTTCTGATGTAGCTTTAAATGATGCGTTGAAAGAGGAAATTCAGCATTTGAAACTAGTAACGGGGCAGGCTATGATGAATGGAGGACCTGTGATGAACTTCGCTCCTTTTGGAGGAGGGCAGCAATTTTATCCTAACAATCACGCCATGCACACTCTCTTAGCAACGCAACAGTTTCAACAGCTCCAAATTCAGTCTCAGAAGCAGCAGCAGCAGCAGCAGCAGCTGCAGCAACATCAACTGCATCAGCTTCAGCAGCAGCAACCGGGGGACTTGAAAATGAGAACAACTACTCGTTCACCAAGCCCCAAAGATCGAAATCCACCTGCAGCCAAGGATTGTTGAGGAATTCCCAATCACTCCTTAAATTCCTATTTGCCTCCTGCTTGGAGGCTGATTAGGCTGTTAGCGATGTTATATTGATTTATTCCTAGTAGCTCTGCATGTGGTCTGTCTTAGAGTATGATATTAATGTGTTTGCGCTTTTACTGTGTAAGGTTGACTTCTGTCGTTTAAGACTACCTCGAGGTTCTTTCGCTTGCTTTGATTTGATGGTTCATTTTATACGGTGGTCGCATGTTTATATTGCAAATGGCAGTAATAGGAAGTTCATTTTCTTGGGGCATGGGGGACAAGGATTTTTATGAGATTTTGAATATTTATCTCAAGCATGGAATTCGTGGTGCGCTGCTTTGGTAGCATGTTTTCTGTCTGAAACGCAATCCAATCGGATTGTCCAATATATGACAAAGTGGACGGTGCGTGCATACATGCATTTATTTATAAATGAAATGGTTTACTCGTGGCGGAGCTTGGCTTCGAATCCTGGGAAGTAATTTATTGATTTACGAAGAATCAAGCGTCACTACACATTAATCTGGCAGATGTTTGAAAAGGTTGACTTCCGATTATTTTATCGAGCTTACACTTAGGAAATTTATGGGACAGAAGAACGCAAGTTTAATTCCAGGGGCGGGTCCATCCTCCATTCCCATTTTTCAGGGATATTGTGCGGCTGATCCACGTCCATATCTACGTGGTAGAGTACCCCGGGCCCCCACCGCCTTCCGGCACTGTCCACTCTATGTTTTGATTTGGATCTTTGATATCGCATGCCTGCGTGTGCAAGAAACAATCTGTTAAACCATGCAGCATACACAATTTTTTCTCTCTTTTGGATTACCAGCATTTGAACCCGAACCCAGGTAATTCACTGTCAAGCAATGGACCACAAAGGCAAAAGTCAGCTGGTTAACCCAATTCAATTCCTGCCCGACCGACATTTTTATTCCGAGATGAAGCCAGACTGAATCCTACTCGAGATTTCAGGTGCAAAATCACAGAAATGTTCCTCATATATTAAACTACAGTCTTCTGATTTGATCTGGAATGCTTACCTTGCAATGTAAGCAATTTTGAGCATTAATCTGCAATTTTGGCTGATTCTGCTCATCCGGGACATACCTGTATTTGAGACAGATCAAGGAAAAATCCAAAACCTGAAAGTCCTTTGGAATAAAGCAGTCGTAGAAAGGCATTACTCATATACTCGTGCAGGACAATATCGCGACTCAGGACCAGCATACACAGGTAAATTTACAAGTTCTGGAATCTTTGGATCTCTCAACCGAAGGTGAGGAGGTTGATCGTGTTCATGATTTGTGTTGCTCCTACAATGAAAATAAATATTTGCATAAATGCTTACAAAGCGAGGTTTAAAAAAGCTGCAAATTATGTATTTGTTGACTCCATCCGCCATTACTTTTGTAAGCCACAAAAATATTATCATCAAAGGAGGCGCGCGGTATCAGCGGTAAAACTTTCCACCCTTCTCATTCACAATAAAGTGAAGTTATGGCTACATGCAGGAAATTCCTTTAAGTTGTCCTGCATCTCCTCAGGAGAGACTTTTCTCAGCCTTAATCTCAGGTCGGAGGTTGACATGACACTGCCGCATGCTCTACAAACTGTCACTCTCTTGTCCTTTTACAAATTGGTTTGGAAGAAGAAAAAGACACCCTCATATAGGAGTATATGGGAAAAGGCAATGATTTGGTCTTCAGACTTTGCCTACAGCCCTAAAATATCCAGAGATTTAGGAAAAGCCAATGTATTTTCCCCCAAAAGCAGGAGCATTGTCTTTGATCAAGTAATTAAAGGAGATTACTAGAATTTTAATTAGCTATTAAAGAACTTGTGTAGGACCTTTGCCATTTTCCCATCACCACATGCAAATTACTTTTACGCCAATGACATGCATTATTCTACTAGCAAGTGTTAAGTTACATCACATTATTTTACACTAAATGGCAAAAGGGTGAAGAAGTTACGAGCAAGTGATGGTGAAGAAATATGATTGGCTTTTACACATTGGCCCTTCGACTTTTGTCTTTTCTCAACTCTTAACCTGCTCTTCCCTCTCCAGTTTCTGTTTACACATTCTGCTAGTTATGTACGAGTTTGGTGACCTCCAGCCCTTTACATACTTATGGGCACAACTTCCTTCTCATTACCGTTACCTGGTTTTCTTCCTGTTACCGGTTATCAATTGGTTCGGCACTAAGCAATAAAGAAGAATTCATTATCTCAAACCTGTGCAATGAGGTAGGTACATCAAATGAGAAAACACCATCCGGCTTTGGGTAGGGCATAGGAGAATATAACTTTGCAGCCTGCAAAAAATGTCAAGAAAGTTGGACACCACTAAACTCAAGGGTCATAGTTTAAATTATCACATCTTACTTGGCCTTCTTCCTATTATTAATAGGCTCTACTTTTAAAATCTGAATCGGAGTTAATTGCCTTTATGACGTTATAGTGCCTCATATCCAGAATTGAATTACTGAGATTTTTCAGCAAAAATAATTCTAACGCAGCGCAAATGCAACAAAACACAACGTGCTTTGGGACTAGAAGTTCCATGAATTGAGAAAGACATATTCTATTTGATTTGCCAACGACCCCATCTCCCTCATGCCCTTTGCTACAGTGCCCACAATTTGTGCAATAACATTTTTCTGATTGAAAAAGAAACATTTGATAAAAGGAAAGAAAACCCAGAAGAGAACAAGACATTGTCCTAAATTTAAAATAACAAGGATGGAAACCCTCACATAACTGTCAGTCACTAAAAAATCATGAGCAAAGTAACAAATACCATCCTATTAAGTCAAAACATGTGTATGACAAATCTTATCCTATTAAGTGGGGTCAGCTACATAGATCATACAATACCATTGTGCTCTATTCATAACCAACTTTTCCAATATACCATAAGCAAAGCATGTATATATAAAAAAATGTATATTCCTAAAACTGCAAGCTGCCACAAAGCTTAGGCACCCTTCATCCATCCAAAACCTCTAAACAAGTAGATTTTCAGGGCATATCTATGTATCAATGAGGATAAAAAATAGTCATTTTCCCATGAAAGCAAATTCTTATAAATACATTAAGTTACATACACTAGACTAATTAAGCAGTTTTCTTACATGTGTAGCTTCATGATCAGGTTTACCATGCTTCAAGGTAATTGGGTGCCTTCCCTTGAGCAAGTAACTGCAGGGCAGAACACGGGGGTAAGAAAAGTTTGAGTATTGGAAAGGCAAGTACAAGAAAATGAGTCCCGGTTATTCAAGTGATGAGGATAAAATGAGAAAAGGTATATCTTACTGTTCCAAAGCACTTATGGCAAGCCCTGGAATAAGTCCATAATCAAAGGCCTACAATAAAAAATAGCCATTTTAATTGACGATCTCAAACAGACAGTAAAAATCTTCAGCGTGGAAAAAAAAAAAATCAAGGTTATGCTTCAAATGGGAGGGGAGGTAGAGATAACAGAAAATAAGCCAACGGCTTGCTTCACTGACTGGTCGATAGTTCCTAGCTCTGAATAGTTCTTCCCAAATCCATGAATTCCTCAAAGCATCCCAGTATCTATCCATTTCCAGACCTTCATTAAGCATACTGAATGTAGCTTCAGCTGCAAGCATCCCTTCAAAAGAAGAATGAGATTTATGAGACTACATGCATTAACACCATAAACCCTGATAGCTCAATATGCTACTTGTTCTAGAGTTAAATCATAAAGGCAATATATAAATAAAAAATTACAATTTAGATGGACTATATAAATATTGTTATCTGACACTCCTTTGACCAAAGCTATATGAAAGAACACCTTTAAAAGTTGTTGACCGAGGCTTCCTAGTTGACATTTCAAATGGCTTGATAAATAATAAAGTACAATGGTGTTGTATAATCATATAGCCAATCCCACCTAGTGGGATAAGGCTTGTTGTTATTATTTGTTGTTCAATTTGGACAAAAACATATCCTCAGTAAAAAAATATAAAAGCAAGCAATAGAAGTATGGTCAAGCCATTACCTGATTTCATAGCTGTGTGAGTTCCTTTTATCTTGGGCACATTTAAGAAGCCAGAAGAACATCCAATAATTGCTCCTCCAGGGAAAACTGGATATGGGATAGACTGAAATTCAACTAGAATCATGTTTGTATTTGTATTACAAAAATATGTCAGAGTAAGTTAATCTACTGGTAGGAAAACAAAAATTATTGCAGTTTTCCTTCTCTTGCTCCTCATGGACATGGCTATAGAATATCTCTGGGAAATTAATAATCAAACTTGTCCATTGATCTTTTCAACCTTAACTAACTACTAACTACCATCAAATTTTATGGTAGAAAAGAAATCATTAAAGCAGTTGCTGTTTGGCACACACATAGGGTTCACAATTCATTAAAATAGCATATATACTTTTACTTTCCAAGTATCTAAAAGAAGTTACAGCTAGCGTACCTGCAAACCTCCTTCATTTAAAGTTCTAGCTCCATATTGGAGAACTGTTCCACCTTCCAGAAATGTTTTGATTGCAGGGTGATGCTTAAGTTTCTGGTCAGCCGAATGGAGAGAGAAGCATCAGGGATTGATAAAGTGAAATGCCTCTTAGAAGTTTCAACGACAGACAATATTTATATAGCAAACCAAGAAACCTAACAAAAGGTTAAAAAGTGAAAAAAATACAGATATAATTGTTATATTTTCCAAGCTAAGTCATGACTTGCTTATTTATATAAAGCATGTTTATACACATATATCTTGAAAAACTCCATCACTTGAGCCGTAAAAGGATGAAAAGTTCACCTCAGAAGCGTCAAAATGGCTTAGCCAGGTTATATGCCATGAAATTCTGTACGTTATTTCTTAGAAAAATATGTAACTAGAAAACTCAGATGCCATGGAAATAAAGATGGCGAAAAACATCGTGTTAGAAGAAATACCCAAATGACATGCCACATTGTATATCATGAAATTCCAGATGTTTCTGCATAATTGTGTAACAAAGAGGAAGATATAATGATTCTTCCCATGAAACCGTTTTAGCAACAAGTTATTGTCCTTTTATCCCAAGTAATCAAAAATTATGACGCAGGAACTAAAGTAGCATATACATGAAAATAGAAGTCTGAGAACTTCTCAAACTAATAAAATTAAAATATGAATTTTACCTGAAATTCCTCATAAGGATTCATAAAAGGGTTCTGATAGTTCAAAGCAACCACAAGGCCTATAGATATCTGTCACAGTGAAGATTAATATAGTTGAAATGAAAAATACGTCATTACCAAAATGAGATATACCGTTAGCTGAAATAAAAATATTTATTAACAAGGGGAAATTTTGGGGTACCAAAACAATTTATAACCATTAACATAGCTGCATGAAACTTGTGAATAACTCATCCCATGTTGATTTCTAGTCAGAACAGGAACCAATAAAGAAGGGAGATAGATGACTCCACTGAATTGAAACATGTAAATTTCTCTGTTTTTTTTTTTTTTTGGGCATAAAATGGTGCCATGGAATTTCAAGGGACAATCAAGCATTCAGAAGGAAAAGGTCAAGTAATACAATTCACAGTCTAAACATCAAAGATCCATATTGCAATAAAAATTTGTAATTTTGCGCATGCAGGCAAAACTAAAGTAATCTAAGCTACTACAACAATGATTACTAAATAAAAAGGAACTGCCTTAATCAATTCAATGTAAGTTCTAAACTAACGAATTTCTTGTAGGAATGCAAACGTCCAGAATTTAGGAAAAATATGAATCTATGACTGTTGAAAAAAAAAATCTTACTTGTCTATCATTCATGTGATACAGAAATGATCCCCCATAAGTCTTATGATCCAAGGGCCAGCCCAGTGTGTGAAGTACAGCCCCAGGTTGGTGCTTTTCAGCATCAATTTCCCAAACCTAAGATATAAAGTAGATATAAAGTTATGTAATGTAAACCCAGGTAAGATAAATATTTAAGCATGAAGGATATCACTTTTGTTTTTGACATAAAAGACATAAAGATTACCATATCATGCACATACTAAACAAAAGAACACTAACAAGAAACATTCCCCTTTTTCACTAAAATGAAAGTGAGAACAAAATTATCATAAAAGCATTGCTTCAAGCAAAGGAAATTGTGAAGTAATCATACCTCTTTAATTCCCAAGGCATATGTCTGATGTTGTGCACTACCCTTCTCTCTCAGGTTGTACTTCTTAATGATTTTCTGTAGGGTACAGTGGTACGTTGGGAATGTGATAGGAGATTTTGGTATTAAAACAACAAGTGGCAGGAAAAACTAGTGTAACAATTGATAAATTCAATTTTAAAACCTCTGATAATGATCCTCGGCATCCCTCAGCCAGAAGTGTTGTGCGACCTGCATGATTGGTTATGTATATAATTTTTTGGCAATCATGTATTCAAATAATTAACACAATAATACAACTAGCCTAAAAAAGGCTTAAATAACTAAATGCACAGAAAAACAACAAATACCTACAGGTCTTGAGTTTTCTATAAAAAAAAAAAAGAGCTCGATAACTAAAAGTGCTTTCACAAAGGTCTAACCATGCCTAACAGTACTTGTTATGACACTATTTTTACATGTGTTATCCGGGGTCTTAAATCAGATGTTAGGAAAGAAAACCAACTACTGATCAAAACGTACAAAAGCATTGTCCTTTCTTTTAGGTCTGAAAAAGCAATCTTCACTAGACCTCTTTTAGCAATATTATATGCCTTAGCAGTAAAAGGTTAACACTTTCTATCAACAACCAAACAAATCATATGCTATGCACCATGCCTAAAAATGTTAATTTCCCCAGTTCTCCAAAGTAGAGGTGAGAGAAATTCACCAATACTTGAAAAACCAACCATTTTAAACAAAGTGAAGCATGGAAGTTTATATGCCAGTGCCACATACAGAAGATGACACAAACATCTTCCCAAAAAACCAGTGGCAAAGCAATTAAAGATTTGCATGAGAGAAAGAAAAGTGAGCCAAGGAGAAACCTTTGATCTCAACACCACGTTGAAAATTTTCCTTCTTTGAACCATCTTTTGAAATTCCCATATCATTAGTCCTAATGCCAATAACTTTGCTGTTTGCATCAAATAATATCTGACCAAAACAAAAACAATGAACACAAAAAATTGGTGGCAACAACAAAGCAAAAGGAGAGAGTACCTCACTAGCAGCAAATCCTGGATATATTTCTACTCCCAACTCTTCAGCTTTCACTCCCATCCAACGTACTAACTGACTAAGACTGTATTAGAGGGCCCAAAATAAGAAGCTTCTATTTTTTTCTTTAAAAAAAAAAAGTATACAAATACATGCATAAACACAAACACAAACACACATAGTCAATCTAGATAAGCAGAACAGAGCAAGAATATGAACACAATTTTATAATAAACAGTTTTTACATGAAAAAAAGGAATAGTCATCAATGATAAACTGTATCCAATAAGTGAACTGTCAGATATCTATAGCAGTCTTCTTTTTAGAATTTCAAATTTGTACCAAGTATTGGCAACAGATGTTTTCATTTCTACCAGGAACAACCAACTATTGGATATAATTTTTTTTTTTTTACGCAAATGTGTTCAGCTAATTAAGAATGATTAAAATACAAAAGGTTCACAAATCAACAAGCCAGAAACAGTTTCAAATATGAGGTTCTGGAGAAACATCCTACTGAAATCGATATGGTAGAACCTGAGGTCCAATTAACAACAAACAAAAAAATTCAATAGATAGCATGAGAGATGAAAATAAAATCATAACCTTATTACATAATTTCCCTCATTGTTGAAAGGACAAGGAAGTGATAATGCCCGGTCCTTGGTCAGGAACCAAAACTGATCAGAAGTAACAGGGGTACTGATTGGAGCCTGCAGATAACCATAATGGAATCAGATTAAAAAAGGGGGGGAAATAGTAATTAAACATACTTCCATAAACTATAAGCTCTATACTGTTCTATCACCAGAAAATACTAATAGAATCTTTTAAAAATGCACAAACAAGAGAATATAAATTGCGCTCCTGTGGCCTCAGAGCATCATAGTTACTTCCAACCAAAGAAGCATGGGCATTGCATCCAACATGGATATTGCGACAGGGAAAATAATCAAAATCTGAAGAATTTAGGTGGTGTCTAACACATAATGGACATCGAAGCAACTCATTTTATGAAGTGTTCATTTTCGTAGATTTGCTTTAAGTTACAAAAACAAACTTCGCTGTTTATCTACCCTACTACCCTCCACGCCCCCTCTAAAAAGAAGGGGGGATTCAAACAGGTAAATGCAATATAATTTGGGATTACTGCATACAGTCTGGCCTTTACTAAGAGTATATTTATATTGGAGATATGAGACAGAAGCATAATGCACCTCTTCTTGCTTCCACCTCGGGAGAAGTTCATCCAGCGCTCGGGGTTCAAAAACGTTTCCAGAAATAATATGAGCACCTAACAACGTGAACATGGATAAGAAGAGCGGAAAAATGAAGCTAGATAGGTTACAGGAAAACTAAAGGTGTGACTAGAATTTTAGAACTCGCAAGGATCAAGCGAGATACATCAATTTACTAATGGAATCAAAAGCTTGATGACCAGCAATACGAAATATGCTTCCGCCAAAAGACTTGTATTAGAACTCGGGCAGTATAGCAGTTTTAAAATGAAAGAGTGGAAGCCAAAACTTCAAGAACTATCAGTCATACGATGAACTTGATTGAAATTATATTTACAGCGCAAAATCAGTAGTCATAGATTGGCTAGTACAAGGGCGCAGGCGGTAGTTCAAAGATTGACAAAATAATCTTATATGAGGTTGTGAAACATACCGACTTCGGCACCTTTCTCGACGACACATACTGACAAATCGACATCATTTTCACGACACATTTGCTTAAACCGAATCGCCGCAGATAACCCGGCAGGTCCTGCTCCGACGATTACGACATCATACTCTATGGACTCCCGGTCAGGCTCGGTACTGAAACTCCTGAAATTTCCAGTTCCCATTTTGCTCAAACTCTTCCGAATTGAGAGACACAAACCATTATCGGAACCAGCGGCGTTAGAATATTGAAGTAGACGGCGAAAATACGAAAAAACATTCGAAGCCGGGCGGTCGTGAAGGTTGGAAGGAGAAGAAAACGGAGCAAACTGAGAACGGAAGACTGAGGAAGTGGCCGAATTGAAGGAACTAGAGAGCGAATGGAAGCGATTGGACTTGAACAAGAATCGAAACTGGGGCATGGCTCAGATTTAGGACTCCCGCGCTACTACTAAGAAAATTTTAACGAAGGAGAAGTAGGTCTTCCGTATACCATCTCTCTGGGACCTGGTCTTCATCATCGCTTGGAGACGCGGCTGACGTGTCAGCTCGTTGCTATCTTCAACGAACTAGAGTTTTTGGAAAAAAACAAAAAAAACGTCCAAGAGGGAACATTGAGAATTTTTTTTTTCAGTAAAAATTCATAGATAAACTATATTAATTGACAAAATAAGTTATGTTAGCATATAAACTATTATAACAATCAGGCGGCAAGATATCAAAAATACGAACACATAAATGTCGGTGCAGGCTTGACAAGATAATCAATCGGCACATTTATTTACCTCCTTAAAATTGTGGTCGAACGTGATTGTCTAATTTCGTATGGTGGAATCTTTAACTTTATTGATAATAGTAGAGAATGGGTGGTTAGTGGAGAACGTATTATAGTTTAATGAGAAAACTTTTGTAAAGTTAGTATAAACATTACTTTATCTAACTTTTCAGCCTAGCAAATGTTTAAATCTTTCAAGATGTCCATAAACTCGACTACTGTACTTAAATAATAATTAAAGTATTTGGATAATAAACATTGAGAATTAATAAATATTTGTTAAAACATGATATACGTTTGTCTCTTTTCACGATTAGGCTCTTTTAGATTTTTAAACTTGTCAATTAGCAAATAATTTTTTGTTAAATGTAAATGGTTATTTGTTGAAACATGAACTATACTTATCCTTTCTTACAACCAAGCACTTTTATATTTTTAAACTTATTAATTAGTAAATGTTTTATTGTTAAATGTGAATAGTTATTTGTTAATTAAGGAATAGTTTAATTCCTTGATTTTACAGTGATATCTTAAAATCTTTTGATCTTGGCAGTGCTTGAATAACATTTTCCATAGCGCTAAATATTGGTTACAATAGGTCATGGAGAAGAGCATCAGAGTTATTCTCACTAATTGCGGTTATATACGACAAATATAAATCCTTTTGTCAATCTTAATTTGATTTTTGTTCTGACTTCATGTTTATTCTTTTACTCTATTCCTTCCCCGTCAGCAAGCACATTTTTTGTTGACAAATAAATCTTTGTGGAATTAATATCATCATCAGGTATATTAAATTAATTTAAAGGATTATTTCCAGTTCTATCGTTATGAACTGACGGTACATGACGATGGACGCACAAAGCTTGGTTTCCAGCATTTGCAGACAGAATATGAGCCACCTAAGCCGAACAGCAAAAAAGATGCGGATAATGAAGCAGGACAATTTACCCCCAGCCCGGTGACTGGGATTTTAGAGCTTCAAGCGAAATGCATCGACTCACTGATGACATAATCAAAAGCTTCATGTCCAATTAGCTAAGTGGAATATGCTACCGCCAAAATGCTTACACGGCACTCGAGCATTTTAACAACGTAGGTTTAAAGCATAAGAGTACGTCAAAAGCTTGAGGAACCGTTAATCACCCGATGAACTGGGGTTGAAATTCTCTCTTTTTGGACAAAACTAGATAGAAATTCCAGTTACAGCTCAAAATCTACATTCTGTAGTCATAGACTGACAGGTACAACTTACAAGGAGTGCATGCGCGAGTGCAATCACGCATGACCATCATCATCATGTTTGTTATTTTATTGTCCTGTGCCACTGTTCTTGACACTTTAATTATGAAAGCCGCGCACTTACACCGTGAAGATATATTTCTTCCTATAAATGCAACGCGGATAACATGTCTCAACAATAAATGACCTACTCCCAACCACAATGCCCTCACGACCAACGCATGCTTTCAGCTCTTCAATCTGTCTGCATATGAAACTCTACCAGGCCAAGTACTTGTCCCGGGTCAGACAATCAGCACAGCGTTTGATCTCTGGCTTTCTCATTCAAGTCACGGTATCCCTCTTCTTCAATTTTCTCATCAACATCACATCAAAACCTTGTGCCTTTTGTTTCATATGTATGGAGAAGAGACGCCCACTAAAAGATGAAACCTTTCTGCAACACCCTTTCGTCCTTGCTCTTGTTTTGGTTCTCGGATTTGTTGTAATGGACCCATTTCATTTGGGTCCATTGGGAGATCATGAATTCATACCTGTGAAGCATGACATCGCGCCGTATGACCAAGTCATGGAGAGTTGGCCAAGAGACAACATGAGCAGACTAGGACTCCACGGGAAATTGGAGTTTAAGGACCAAGTCTTCGGGCCAGAGTCCTTGGAGTTTGATCCTATGGGTCACGGCCCTTATGCTGGATTAGCTGATGGACGCATAGTCAGATGGATGGGGGAGCAGAGAGGATGGGAAACATTTGCAGTGGTTACAGCCAATTGGTGATTCTCCTGAAAAAGTTTCCTGTTTCTTGTTGAAGCACATCCTTAATTACATGTTATAAACTCATAATTCTAAATTGCTAATAATAGTTAGTGTTTTGGGGACTTGGAAGGACGAAGAAGCTTTGCTACAGGGGCAACGACTCGACGACAGCCAAACAGTGGAAGTATGAGAAAACATGTGGGCGTCCCTTGGGTTTAAGGTTTGACAAAGAGAGTGGGGACTTGTACATTGCCGACGCATACTTTGGCCTTTTGGTGGTTGGACCTGGTGGAGGGATTGCTACTCCTCTGGCAACCCATGTGGGAGGAAAGCCCATTCTCTTTGCCAATGACCTTGACATCCATAAGAATGGATCCATCTTTTTCACAGATACCAGCAGAAGATACAACAGAGTGTAAGCATTCATGAATTTCTCATGTATGCATAGTAGGATTTAGTTCATATCAATGTATCATGTGTGTGTCTCTATGTACAGAGCGCACTTTTTCATTTTACTAGAAGGCGAGGCCACCGGTAGGCTTCTCAGATATGATCCTCTAACCAAAATGACCCATGTTGTGTTGGATGGGCTTGCTTTTCCTAATGGAGTCCAATTTTCCAGGGATCAATCCTCCCTTCTCTTCACTGAGACTACGAATTGCCGGTGAGTAATCATGATGCCACCCTCACCTATAATGATGTAACTTGACACAGTTAAACTAACTGAGAATATGACAGATTAATGAAGTTTTGGGTGCAAGGTCCAAAAATGGGAATCGTGGAACATGTAGCTAATCTTCCAGGGTTTCCAGACAATGTAAGGATAAATGGAAAAGGGCAATTTTGGGTAGCAATAGACTGTTGCCGCACTGCAGCACAAGAGATTCTAACTCACAATCCATGGTTAAGGAGTATTTACTTCAGGTTGCCAATGAAAATGAGCATATTAGCTAGAATGATGGGGATGAGGATGTACACTATGATTTCACTTTTTGAAGAGGATGGACAGATACTGGATGTTCTTGAAGACAAACAGGGAAAAGTGATGAAATTGGTGAGTGAAGTAAGGGAGATAGAGGGGAAGCTTTGGATTGGAACCGTAGCTCATAACCACATTGCCACTCTTCCTTACCCATAAGTATTCCTAGGCTTAGCAATTTAAATATGGTTCTAGCCTTTTCTCATGCTGTCATTTATTGCTTTGTGTAAGATGGCGTTTCAAAATTAAATGGATTTAAAGGGCTTTCATACTTTTATTATTTCTAGTTTGTATCTTTCTAGCTCTGCCATCTATCATACCTTAATTTTTCTCTATAGCACTTGCTATTCATTCCATCTCTACCCAAGATGGAGGAGGAGATTTGGATCGTCAATTTCATAATTAATGGCTTGGAGTTAACTTTTAAAAAATATAGTTAAATTTAAATCATTTGCTACATCTCCAATGGCACGAATCTATAGTTGACTTGTGCAAAATGGTTGGAAAGTGTGGTGGAGGGAACACATAGGCTTCCCATCTATTCTAGATCATTTTGAAATTATGGATTACAGTCATTATTTTTAATTTTTATATACAAACAATAATAGTAATAAAAATTTAACAAATGTCAAGTATTTGGCTATTTTTCCATTAAAAATGTTTATATAATACATACATATGGTTATGATTAATAAGACCCATCCTTTAACTTTCATGTGCGTGGATAACAGTAAAATAATAACACATTATAAGGATTCTATATCATGTTACAAAACTTGGTAAATAATATGATTCAAGTCGTGCTTGAGGATACTATCATTAAGAGTTATTTTATTGCACAAGTTGAATGTAGCAATTCCCTAAGATTAAACGAACTCATTATGTAAAAAATAGGGTGCTAAATAATAGAAACACATAAACTAGAAAGAATAACTTGAGATGGAAGCGAAATGCTCAAACACTAAATAGCAGTGTCTTATAAACGCTCTATAAGCATGCCTTACATAGATGATAGATGCACATGAATGTTGGGCACCATTTAACACTACCATTAAAACATTTTAGAGTTTCTAAACATTTAGCAATGAATCTAGATTAAGAAACTCATCAATAGTCATTGTAGATTTTGAAGAATTTGATCATTGAACAAGTCAGTCATTACCTACAACAAATTTCTAAAGGTTTCATTGAATCATTAATCACCAATATACATTGCAAAATTTTAAAGTTTTGAACATTGAATTTGGGTGGTCAAAATATTTTTGAAGTCTGTAAAATATTTTGGGTTAAGGGTCAATTTTATCTTTGAATTGGTCATGAAAGCTCACAAATGACTCTGAATTCAACTATGGGTCATTTATATCCTTTAACTGCTAAAATTTTTAAATTTATCACCCTGTCATTTAGAGTGTCATTTTTTTCATTAACTGGGGCCACATTTGAATTTTTAATATTTACTTATTATAAAATATTGCCTTGTGGGTCCTACCAAAATTTTTCTATTTTTTAAGAATTTTAAAAATTATTCTCTCTCTTCTACCTTCTCTCTCTCCCCCCATCATCTAACCAAGATCTAGAACGAGCCACCCTAAAACTTTTAGATCTCAAGCCCTTAAATCCCTCATGCATCTCACCTAGGCTGAGCTTAACAATCTCCTCGTCATTAAAGATGTCGACAAGACTTTTAGACTTCTTGTTAGCCTTACTTCTGATCATTTCTCATAGCCAAGTTGGCTAAGGAGGTGTAGGTGCGACTCTTTATTTAGCTCTATATTTTGAATAGAAAACAAAGGTGGATGATGGAGAGTAAATCATTTGGGCTCTCATACTTGCTCCTTATTATTGTAGCTTTTGGTAAGATCATGGAACTACTCCTCAATATACGTTGGATCGGGATGTGAAAGTAGTGTGATGAGTCTTCAAGAATAGATTGGCAACTTCGGGGGATGAAATGACAATGCAGGATCACATTTTTGGCTTAAAGATTGAAGGCTTTAATATGGACATTCACCCAACATGTGGAAGTTTTCAATGATCGAAGGGGTTGTTATACTCATCCAGCTAGATTCTAGTCTTCTTTGAGCCATTGCACGAGGAGGATATGGTGAGAATATATGCTCACATAAGTTTCAGAAACAAGCGCATGCACTAAAACCATATAAAGATATAGTATAATGGACGATTAAAGCAAATGAAAATGAGTAATCTAGAAATGAGAGGGGGAGGAGAGAAAGGAGTGGGGGAGATACGAAGAAGACGATGAAAAGGAGACGAGAGTTTCATAGAGAGGGAGAGAGGACAAATATTTAAAAAAGAGTTAAGAGTAAAAAATGTCTCTAAAGTGTACATAAAAAATCATAAATGACTCTAAACTCAACTATTGGGTTATTTATATCCTTCAATCTTAAAATTTTTTTAGTCCATTACCCTGCCATTTCCTCTGTTAATTTTTTATGTTAATAGGGTCCACATGTGAATTTTTAAATATTTATTTATTATAAAATATTTAAAGTGGGTCCCACCATTTATTTTTTAAATATTTTTCCTCCCTCCTTCCCCTACAACTCATCTCCTCTTCTTCACCATTATTCTCATCTCTGCAACTCAACTTCAACTCCAAAACCAATGCCAACTTCTAGACCACATTCGTCATACATGATCATCACCATATTTGTAGCTAAGATTGGTGTCACTGTTGATGATATTTCCACCAACACCTACCTCCAATCTTTGTAACACACCAAATTTTTGTTTTTTTAAATAATTTAACTCAACCATAGTTGGGTTACAGCCACCCAACATATTTTTATATCAATAATTTTAATATAAAATATTTTATAATTGGTTTCAACTCACATAATATAACATTTCAGATAAAATTTTACCTCTCATATGCCACTAAGCTAAATCACATTTATCCATCCTTATACTCCCAACAAGTAAACTAAATTACATTTGTCCATCCTTATACTCCCAACAAATAAAATAAATAATTTAGTCAATTTTCAAAACAAGCCAGTTATTTGGCCTCATAATCATGCCATTTTAACCAATCCAAAGTAAATCAAATATTAAAATTACAGTCATTCAAAGTATACCAAAAATTAGTTTGAAAGGCATGATTACATTTATATATTCATATAATTGACAATAAACAAAAAGCCCTAATATTGGCAATATAACACATTATAAATCATAAATCAAATATCCAAAAGAAACAGTGTATCTAAACCACTAAGCCTCTGGGACTCCTCCACGTGTCACTCGTGGCTCTTCTCCTGAAAATTGTTAACCACATAATGAGACTCAAAAGTCTTAGTAACCAATACCAATTTATGATAGTGTGTACAAACAGTTAAGTGTGTGCTTACTAAGTGAGAATTTAAAAATAATATAATTCCAACAAATATAAGAAATATTACAATACACACAAATAACTATCCTTATATCCCTCCATTAACCTCGAGCCGTAGCCCTCACTCGGTGCTAAATTACCCAGCCAAAGGTAGATTAGCCCGAGCCCTTACAAGCCACCTATTGAGCTCCAATAGGGGCGTACCACATGGCACATAAATACAACAACAATAGCAAGTCTCCCAACATCTCCCACAATAATCAAACAAATTCATAATAATATTGCACAATTATACAATATTATAGAAATTCATAATTTTCTCAATAATCACCCAATTAACATGAAGTAACACTAATCACAAATTAAAAGCATGATTACCTTGTGGCTTTTTCAATAAATTATTCCTTAAAATTTCTCTCTCACCACAATCTTCACCAATAATACAATCTACAAATAACATATTATTTATAAATATTAGTTTCAATTTTTGAAACTAATAAAATAATTTTAATAATAGAATTAAAAATATAACATAATTCCTAATCTCAATCTTAATACAAATCTAGAGTTAATATTATTAAGTAAAATTTTTTAACTCCTTTTTTAATTATCAATAAACATTAATAATTTAAAAATTAAATTTTAAACTAATTTCTTTTATCAAAATTTTCTTTTTATTTTATAAATTCACACCTAAAATACTCAAAAATTAAAAATTGAGTCTCTAGCTTAGAATTATAATCCTATAGCCATAATAATTCATTTTTCATCCCAAATAATCATCTAAACCTCAATAAATCAACATATATTTTCAGATCTAGTTTAGAATTTGATCCATAAGCCACAAATTCAAAGATCATTAATAAATTTATACTCTAAAACATTTATTATACTACTAACAACCTCATAAACCATATTTATTCAACATAAATTCATCTCTCTTCCAGATCCTAAATTTTCTACCACCACAAAATTAGAAACCAAAGAGGAAGGATGACTAAGAAAAAATTTTAAAACACTTACTTAGTCTTGAAAAGCTTAAAATCACACCCTAAATATCCTATTAAAAACTCTTACCTTAAAACCCAGCACTAGCGAAACTAGACGCTCTCTCTGCCTCAGCTCGCGCACAGGGAAGAATGAAGAAACGAAGAAGTGAAGAAAAAAAGAAGGAGGTGGGTTTTTATAAAAATTCAGTGGATCTCACATTTTTTTTATTATTTCTTCTTTCCTCTCTCTTCTTCTTCTTTTTATTTTTTTAATATTTTATACGAATGATTGTTATGCGACGGCCGAAAGCAAATTTTGTTCTTCTTCTTCTTCCCCCCCTTTTTTTAATACCTTTTCCCTTTTTTTATTATAATAATAATTTAATAATAATTTTTTATTTTTTATTATTTTTTAATTAAATTTTAAATTTTAATTTAGAATTATATCCTAAGTTAGATTTAATAATCATCTCCTACTAATTTTCTTACCTCTAAATATTTTTTTAATTTTCTATTAACCCAAATTAACTATTAAAATTTAAATTGGGATGTTACAATCTTTCCCCTCCTTGGCTCCATCATGGCTACCAACCTCTACTTTCTCTCTCTCTCCCTCTTCTCTCTCACCCCTCCTCTCTTGGCAATGAATGACTTCATCACCACACACAAGAAACCCACTTTCTTATAAAGAAGACAAAGTAGTCGAAGTAGTGATGAACTAGGCACTAGTGTCAATGACGCTTCACTTGAGTCCTCAATCTCATCTAGTTAATTAGAGCAAGGTTGGATTTAAAAATGAAGAGAGAGAGGGGGGAATGAAGGGGGGAGAGAGAGGGAATGAATGATGATGAAGGTCAACAGTAATGTCATGGTTTTGAGCTCGGGACTTGATTGATGAGAGTAACATGCTCTAACTAGCAAACCCCCCATGCATACCTTCTTCCATCTCCTAGATCAAACCCTCCCGATACACTCAATTCCTTCATCTTATCTGTCTCTCATCCTATCACACAAGCTTTTGGCTATCACTGCACTATGCAGGCGTCTTCTTCGTCTCCTCTCACCTCTCCCCATCATCATCTTCCTCCTCTACAATATTCAATGCCACTCTCAACGCATCATCCTTGTCCAAATCTACATGTTCCCCTCTCTACCCATCCCTTATCTCTCTCTGCAACTCCCATATGCTTTTCTTCATCTTCTCAACTCTCTCTCTCTCCCCCCTACAACTCTCAATGGCCTCTCTCCCTTCAACATCAATACTGCCACCACCCAACACATCCTTTCTATTTGCAATTCCATACTGAGGTGTAAGTGATCTCTATTCCTTACTTATGTCGATAAAGAGATGAAGGAGAGAGAGGAGATGAGATTGGATGATAGGGGAGAAGATAGAGGGGGGGTGGTAGTAATAGAGATATAAAGGAAGAGGAGGGTGGCGACAAACTTAACTATTTCTCTACAGCTTCTTTAACCCCATCAATGCCTCCTCCTCCTTCTTACAAGCATGTATTGCCACTTGGTCACCTACTTTGCCAGCTCTAGCAGAGAAGACGACAAGTCAGAGGGAAGTTCACTAGGTTTGATGCTAGACTTGCATTTCCATCAAGAGAGAGGGGGGAGGAGAGAAGGATGAGAAAGAGCATATTTATCAATACATAGGATAGCGGAGAATATGACAAAGTGGGAGGGGAAGTTTGCAACAATCATTGTCCTTAGGGTGAAAGTTCGAAGTTGCAGGTGTGGAGAAGGTGTGCGGGTGTGAGGAAGAACAGAGGAGAGAGAAGGTGAGAATAAAAATGTTTAGTTATGCGATTAACAAGTAATGTAGTTCTGTTGTAGGAATTATGGAGTTAACAAAAAAAGTTAAGTATTCTTCTGATTCTATTTATAAGTCACTTCCGACATGTTTCATCAATACTAAAGAAAACCTTAAAACTTATTAACTTTATTTTAAAATTTAATAAGCTTTCAACTTTGCCCCTATTAAATATACATACTTCAATAATATATTTTCTCTCTAAAAAATTCAATGGAAGGTGAAAGAAGAAATTTGTGATGAAAATTTAATGATATGACTTATAAATAGAACCAAAAAATTCTTCTTTATCTGCCCTATAAATAGGATTAGAGGGAGTAATTGGCAAATCTTGTTAATGCATTAACAAGTAAAGTAACGTGATTAACAAATAATGTAATAATTAAGTGGTTTGAAAACAAAGTTTATTATATATATAATTTTATATATTGTATAATTGAATGGGTTCAATTATTTAGTGGTCTATGATCTTTTGGTGAACTAAGAGGTTATGAGTTTTGCACCCATCTTTAGCCACCTTTAAAGAATTTAATTTTTTATAATTCTTTAGTCATTACTGGCAATGATCTAGCTGGCGGTAGGAGCTTTAATGACAAAAGTTCATGCTGGTTGGTGGTTTTTTTAAATATTTGAATTGAGAATATAATTTATTTTCACTTTAGTCGCAGACCGAAGAAAAGTTTCAGATTTTGTAAGACCTATCAAAAATCATGTGTCTTCGTCTTAACTGAAATTCAACCTAGCAAGTTCTCTGCCTTCTGGAAAAAAGAAGAGTCGAGAGAGAGAAATCCCTGGATGAAAATAATGGGATGGCGGAAATTATGCGGATTGTTTAATATATCAAAAAATAGAGCCCTCCTCCCAGCACCCAGGAACTGCATCGTACGACGGGACTGTTCAAGGCTTGGCCGTTTTCCGGGGGAAGAAAATAAAGAGATTTTCTTTTCTTTCTTTCCTTCTTAGACGGGAAATTTGAAGATATACAAGTAAAGATAAAAAGAGAAAAGGAAGCATCCCTTTGACCCCTTTGCCCCCGGGTCTCGGCCTCCATACCATCTAGCTTCTGCTAAATTTCATGACAAATCCCTAATTTCAGGTCTTGTTGCTTGTCTGATTGGTCCTTGGCTCGTTGCAGAGCCTCGTGACTTCTCCGAAATCTCTTGGTTGGCATTTCTGGGTTACTCAGGTAATTCACAACGAATATCTCCCTATCATTATACTGTGGTATTTCCCCTAGCTGAATAGGACACAGGTTTGAGTTTCACAATTTATCTGTTACTTCTGTTTTGTTGTCCCATTTTTTTTTTTAGCTAAATAAGTATATGCTCTTCTATTCCTTTCGAAGACTTCGATCGTTATTATTTTCATTGTTAATATATTTCGAGCTTGACGCTGGAAATTTTTTGAATGCTGAAGGAGGGGTGGTATTCTGCTTGCAGATGATTTTAAACATTGCTATTACTCTATCTCTCGCTAGGTCTTTGATGCTATCAGAAAGATATTTCTTTGCAGATTGTACTCAAGATTATTTGCCCATCATAGAATAGGCTAATTTTTGTGACAATATTACCAGTCCAAAGCAATCTAGGAAGTTGCTGTGTTTGATGATGCCAGAATTGATGTTGTAATGTTTTTCCTTCTTTAGAATGGTGTTCATGTAGAGCAAAAATATTCACAGGGTGGGAAGCAAAAAGTGCACAAGCTCATTATGGTTCAGTCAGTTTTCCATACAAATCTAAACAAGATTAAGATTAACAGGACAGGCATAAATTTGAATCAACTCCAGTCAGTAAATTTGAAGACCCTTTGGAAATTCCCCCAATTAACCTAAAGACAGTTAAAGTTTGATTTGATTTCTTTGGTGGTCGTATTTGACTATCAATGTATAGCTTTTTTGTTACTTACATACTTTATATTCTCCGTTCCATATATATATATATATATATATATTTGATTTTCATGATTAATGTTTATTTTCTTTTCATCTATATTTAGCATGATTTAGTTTCATACTGCATGGCAGCATTTGCACGGGCAATTAGTATTTATCTTACAATCACTTTAGTAAAATCATATATTATCACTTTTAGACAGCTGGAAAACAGGGGTTTTAATGGCCTGCCCTGGTGATACGAAAGAACCTGAATGGATAGACAGAATGAGATCTGAAGGAGCCATTCCACTTCCTGAACCAGATAACTGTAGCAATGGTTGGGCTACCCCACCTGAAGATTCATTCATGGTTAGAGGTCCTGAGTATTTTACAACCAGGGTCAAGATTCCTGCTGATGAATATCTGCTCAAGCCTCTTGGATTTGATTGGATTAAAAGCTCAGTGAAGGTTGGGGAGATCATGAGCCATCCTGATTGTCGAGTTAGGAAGGTCATTGATGATGAGTTTTCAGTTGGTGATAGGCCTTTTGTGTGGGCGTTTAATCTTCAACTCCCAACCAAGGACAACTATAGTGCTGTGGCATATTTTACAACCAAAGAGCCTATCCCGGCGGGGTCATTAATGGACAAGTTCCTGAAAGGTGATGATGCATTCAAAAATTCAAGGCTTAAGCTGATTGCTAACATTGTGAAAGGTCCATGGATTGTTAGAAAAGCAATTGGAGAACAGGCTATATGCATAATTGGGCGTGCCCTTACCTGTAAATACTGTATGGGAGAAAATTTCTTAGAAGTAGATATTGATATTGGGTCTTCCATGGTGGCAAGTGCGCTAGTTCATTTGGCATTTGGTTATATTTCATCTCTGACTGTTGATTTGGCTTTTCTTATTGAGAGCCAAGCAGAATATGAGCTTCCAGAAAAACTTTTGGGTGCTTTCAGATTTTCTGACCTGGATCCTGCTTCTGCTAGAACATTTGAGCCCTCATCTTTGATGAATGTGAATAATTTACAATCATCTCTACCAACAAGATTGTGGAAGTCTATCGGGCAAGGCTTTACTCATATTCTCAATCCGGGTTCTCAAGAAGGTGCCTCTACCCCTGGCTCATAACATGCTAAACTGTAGGAAATCACGGGGACAATAAGACTGGCCTCAAGTAACGGTGAGTTGGTAGAGTTGCGACGTCTTGTTACAATAACATGATTAGTTGATGCTTGGGAAATAGATTTGACCAATGAGATATACTCTATATCTAAATGTTTATAACTTGTGTTTATCAACTGTTTATAAACCCTTATATCCTCTGTCCTCTATCCCTATATATGGAATAGGGGGATGGGGAAGTGGTAATTTGATCAGTATCTGGCTATCTGCTGAAGGACTGGTGCATGTTCTATATGTCTTGATAGATCTTTGTTTCAATATTGCATAGAAGGAACAATTTGTTAGACACGCCTCCAATTATTTCTGTTTTGCTTAGTTAAATAATGCTCTCCTGCAGGAGAGATGAGAAGTGAAAATTAACTCTGGTTTTGGTATTGGAGATAAAGAGTCCTACATTTAGTAATTAGAAGATGGATTAAGAATACATAAAACTTAAGGTGTGTCTAACCAAATGGCTAGTTATTTTGGTGAAGGAGACTACCTTCAAGCATACTTAATAATAAATAGTTTAATATGATATCATGAGCCATTTGATCAGAGATAGAAAAAAAAAAGTAAAAAAAAAAAAGAGAAGAAGAAGAAAGAAAAAATTGAATAGACTTGAGGTCTTTGAGATTAAAAAAGTACAAGCTAGGCAAGAAGAAAAGGAAAAAGAAAAAAAATGAGACAAGAAAAGTAGTAGAGAGAGTATTAGAGATAAAGAGTCCCACATCTAGTAATTAGAAGATGGATTAAGAATATATAAGGGAGAATTATTTTAGGGTCCCACTTAACACAATGTATTATTATTCTCCTAAACTCAGTTTTTAATGGACTTGAAAGTAATTAATTGTTTTGAGTGGGATTTGTGTATAATTCTCCTAATATAAAGTTTAGGATGTGTCTAATCAAATGACAAGCTATTTTGATAAAGTAGACTACCTTAAACAGACTTGATATAAAGAGTTTAGACTTAATATAAAGAGTTTAATAGTTCTCATTAGCTGCTAGTAATTTGATAATATTATTGATAATACCACAGCGACAAGTAGCATTACATTTATCAATGCAATCATCATTTGTATGGTCATTCATGGAAGATGGATATATTTTCTGGATGTTTAACTTCTGCGTTTTCTGTAGATTTGTTGGATGAAGAAGAATGAAGTTTCATTTGAGTTGGTTGCTCTTGAAATTTTTGTGTGGTGGCCTTTAGAGTATTCGTCCGGTGAATCTGTTCCCACCTACTGGGGAGCTTTATATGGCCGCAGAGTTTGAATTTCGAGCTGGATATCATGCATATATCAGTTATTATAGCAATTTCTACGTATGTATATGACTATCTAAACCGTGACTTTGCCCCCTTTATTTGGCCGTAGAAATTCAAGGTGTCTCATTCTTTTAGTAGAATGAGTGATATTGTTAATTTACTTTATTTTTTAAAAAAATGGAAACAGAGTTAATTTTCTTTAATTCAAAAAATTGTTTTTCCCCCCCAAAGTTTATATGACTCGTGCGCGCGCGCGCGCGTCAAGAAATTAGTTTTATAGGATATTTGTGCGTAAGTAGGCCAGGATATCATGTTATCACAACATTAAAGAATTACTGAATCTCGATTTAATATCATGATCCCTGCTGCTAAAAGGTTCTTTTATTATATAGCATCTTCTATTGTAATTTGTAAATAACGAATTGGATAACAAGCCTTCATGTTCGTTTTCCTGCCTGTCAATCTTGTCTTGACACTGTCAAAATTTGCCGTGAACACTAGTAGCAACTACCTATAGGCTGTACTCAAAATAGCTTTAAAGAAGAAAAAAGAGAGAGCTTATCAAGGAAGAAAAACAATGGCAAAGGATCATCATCACTTTTTTTCTCCTACCTTCCAAACCAGCGTTCATCATATTGAGAAGCGAGCATCAAGTTTGTTTTATTTTTTGTTGGCTAGAACCTAGAAGCACGAAATTTGTTGACTCAACGTAAGTTGCCATTCCATGATGAAGTTTACGATTTTTCCAAACTGCTCGAGTCTGGAATAGCCCCTTGCAAAAAGAAAAAGAAGCAGGCTGTCTGTCTATTAATTTTGCACAAACTCAGATGGAAACAATACAAGGAAAGAGACTGAGTACTCCAAAACTGTTGTCCAGAAATCAAGAGTGGGATTTTACGGTCAACAGCGAGGTTAGTCTGTCGGTTTGACTATTTATCTCGCACGAATGCCAAGTTGTAGAGTCAAATTCATAAACCATAGCAATGAATTTCAATTTTCCTAACAACCAAATAAAATATAATGGGGCGATAAAGCTGAACAAAACCGTAAGCATGAAGATCCGTGGCATGTAAGCATGAACAATACTGTAATAGATGTCTAAGAAAAGAAAGGATGCATGTAAAAAATCAACGGCAAAATATTTCCAATGGCAGTGCCAGTACAACAATTGGAAACAATAGTATGAGGCTGTTCATTATCATAACAGCAAAGATGCGCGCTCCAGATGCGGACACCGAGGCAACTATGAACAATTTGCTGATAAAGAAATAGACCATATTGCTAACCAGTCTTGACTCGAGCACGTCAAGGCGGCATCTGATTCACAGGGATCTATTCGCTTGAAATTATACGAGTTCAACATTTCCAAATGGTAATGCACTCATCTGCAGTGTTCTGCCGTTTCCTGATCCCAAAAACCTTACGGATGGTAATGACGGATCTGTTACAGACTCAATCTCAAGAAAGTTGAGGTCAATTGCACCAGATCTCTTCAAACTCAAAACAAAAACAAGCAAGATCCAACCTAACAAGGAAAGTGCCCAGTAATTGTTCATCCCATGAATCAATCCCCATGCAATAGCATATCCAACAATAATTCCTGACAAATGGCCAAGGAAACTTGCTTGGGGTACAATAATTGAAGTGAAAACAAGTGATTCAAACGGTGCAAAACTGATGGGAAGTGAAAGAAAACCAAATAGATCCAGCTTAGAAGAAGGTTGCTTCACTGAAAGGATTGTCATCCACCCAAAAACAACACAGGAATACCCAACAGCTGTTACTCTGCGAAAGTGCTCAAGCTTAAATCTTTGGATTAATAAGTGGTACATGCCCAGAACTAGCACTCCCGATAATACAACCATGACAAGTGTGTACTGTAAATAGTATTCGACACCCAGTCCCAAGTTCCCCAGCTGCTCTACCACCCCAAGACTCCAAAGAGCGCTCATATTAAAAACAAGATGAAGAACACTTATATGGGAAAAGGCCGAAGTGATTATCCTCCAATAATGCCCTTCTATGGCAGTCTCATAACTCAGTCCCACGTGAGAATAGCCGATGTTTTTCTTCTGTATGTAGAACCAGATCGCACAGGATACACCTATGATACAACTTGTGGCGGGTTTTTCCAAGATCTCATAAAACAAAGGCCTTCCCATTTCCGAAATCCCTCTTAATTTCTCCGCCTTTGAGCTGCCAGCTCTTGTGCAAATTCCAAGACTACAACTGCAGTTTAACAAACAATATTCATGGTATTTTCCATGCTCCCGGATTCAGGAATCTAGAGGAAATCTCAGGAATTATCCAGAAGCCCCAAGTCAGGAAGTGCTCACTAAATGAAAATATACGAACCCGGAGCGTAGAAATAACTGGAAAGTAAGTTTCGTGAGATGCAGACCAAGAAGTTTCTTTCTTCGTGTTCCGAGCGGGACAGGAAGTTCATGTCCTACGCTGACGAAGTTGGATTCTACGAATGACGAGGTCTTCAATCCAAATTCAATCGAAGCGAATTGACAAGAATATATGGGGATTAATATTTCTGAGAAATCAAGGATCACGGATTCAAGATTGTTAACAAGATGGCTCACCTTCGGCTTCAAGTCGATTCGAACTCTCCGTTGTCATAGGCTTCTGGGGCTTTCTAAAGCAAAATTAACGAGTCCGCCTATCGGCTTCGTAGTGAAGATGTGAGATCTGTAATCTACAGTGTATAGTATAAGATTAGCATTACTCCCGAGTCCCGAGTCGGCGTTTTCAGCCCCGTCAAATTATTATCATCACTAATTAGAAAAAATGACAATTAAGGATTTATTAACTTATTAATTTTAATTACAGATCTTTTTTTTTTTTATAAAAATTTAATAAGGTTTATAATATATTGGGCCAAACAACGCCTAGCCCCTGTCTGAGGCCTGGCATGCTTACCGTGCTTTTATCTTCCTTTGTTTGGGCTCACTTGGGATCGACTGAAAAGTAAATAGAAGTGGGTTTTACTTTTCCCAAAGGGGTCTTTTTCATACCCAAATAGTTTGTAATTTTTTTAACGCTAAAAAGTTCAATTAGATGAATCAGAAATTTAAAAAATAAAAAATTACATAATATATTTTTAAATAAAAATATAACTTCTATTTATTATAAATAAATATATACCATTCTTTATGATTTTGAACTATGGAGATAAAATTTTAGTTTCATTTTTTATAACTAGTTGATTTTTTAGGCTATCAACTAACTCGTTCACATTGAAACGCTGTTGTGTTTAAAATATGATAATTATTTAGGGTCACGCATTCCTATAGATAAAATTTGAGCTAACAAACATATTTAAGGGGTATCCTATTTGATCCAACCACTGTGGGTAATTGTGGGCTTAATTTATGATTTGCTTTGATCAAAAATTATAAAATAGTGGCAATGACATGTACTCGAAAAACCTAGATTGCGTCAGGTTGCTCAGGCTCTTAGACCTAAATTTGAAGAGGTAGGCATGGAAAGAGATGGGGAGGAAGTATAAAGCCTAATTCTAGTTGGGCTTGAATTTGCCCACCAAAAAGCTCCACGCTTGAGAGTGCTAAGAAAAATGTAAGGTAACAAAAAAGATTGATGATTAGAGGTGGTGAAGGTAAAGATTTAGATCAATACGAGCACTTTATTGGTGAACAATCTATAACTACTTTTACATGCGTTAAGGTCCACAGTGTCCTGTGGAGTTGGAAGTAAAAGCTAAACAAGCTCCATCAAAAGGCCATATCACTACTAGGCTTACTTTTCAAGCGTTCACTCTTCGTTCCCCAGTTTCATGCTTTATGCCCTGCTTCACACCTTATGTGCTATTCATTTTAATCACCTACTTCACTACTATAAAGATATTTTTATCGTGTCCCATTGTCACACCATCTGTTTTTTTATGCTAACAATATGCAAGATTGCCCTCCCTCTATTAACTGGATGATTCACTCTAGTAGTAGACCTTTCATTATTTTTTATGATTTAGATTTCATATCTTAAAAAATATAAACTAATATATAGTATATGTTATGCTTAATATCTCAATTCATACAAGTTAAATAAGATTGAATAAAGTGATGTATGTATCTGAAGAATCTATAATTAAATGCGAGACCTCAATTACTTCAAGTATAGACAGATACATAACTCACTAAACTTTAATAATTTACAAAGAGTTCAAAGATAATGGAGAAAGTGAATCATCGTATTTTGGTTATCAACTAACCGACTTATATTGATTAGTAAAAATTTATTTGTATTGATAATTCCTATACAGTTTATTAAGAAGGACCCGATACATATATAGATAGGGACAAGAGAGAAGGAATCTAATTAAATCCCTAAACATACTCCTAAAATCTCCAATAATATAAATCTAATTAAAACATTATAAGCAAAAAGGAAAAAAGGAAAATTAGGTTTTGAGATATTAGTATGCCTAAGGTCCAATAATATAAGTCACATATCCAACACTACTACTCAAGCTGGTGAGTAGATGTTTATCATTCCTAGCTTTCCTCTGAATGCTTCAAACTTTTCTTAGGATAAAGGTTTTGGTTATCACATCAGTAATTTGCTATCTTGAATGGATGTAGGATAGATCGATAGCCTTTATGTCTAATTTTTCCTTAATAAAATGCTGATTGATCTCTATATGTTTAGTATGATCATATGTACCGAATGTGTTGGCAATCTTAATTGTAGACATGTTATCACACTATGCTTCAATGGGTCCAACCTTGTCAATCTTAATTTCCTTTAGACGTCTGACAATCCACATTCCTTCACAAGTTCCTAGAGCAAGAGCCCTATATTCAGACTCAATAGAGCTTCTTGAAACCACATATTGCTTCTTGCTTCTCCAGGTCACCAAGTTTCCCTATACATAAGAGCAATAACCAGTAGTAGATCTTCTATCTATCTTTAACCCAGCCCAATCAACATTTGTGAACAATTCTATACCTCTAGTATCTCCTTTTACAAAGAATAGTCATAGTCTTAGAGTTTTCTTTATGTACTTAAGTATCCTGTAATCTACAGCTAAATGTTCCTTCTAAGGACAACTTGAGAACTGACTAACTACACTCATAGGAAAGTAAACATCAGGTCTGGCATTAGATAAATAGGTTAACTTGTCTATTAGCCTCTAACATCTTTCTTTATTCACTACTGTCTCATCAAATCTGATAGTTAATTTCTGGTGCAGTTCCATGAGAGTATTTATAAGTTTTGCTCCTAACATCCTTGTTTCCTTCATTAAATCCAAAGTATATTTTCATTGTGACATACTAATCCCCTTGTGCGTTCATGCCACTTCCATGTCTAAAAAGTATCTCAGAGATCCAAGATCTTTGATCTCAAATTTAGTTAGTAAGTGATCCAAGATCTTTGATCTTAAATTCAGTTGCTAAGTTGTTCTTTAGTTTGACAATTTCCCCATCAACATTTCCTATTAAAACTATATCAATAACATACACAATGAGAGCTATCATGTTTTAATTACAATGTTTAACAAATAAAGTGTCATCTACCTGGCACTGTTTGTATCCTTAGGCTTTGATAGCCCAAGTAAATTTTTTAAACTATGCCCTAGGTGATTGTTTCAAACCATACAGAGACTTAATCAACTTGCAAACCTTGTGAGAATTATGAGAGTTTTGTAATTCCAATAGAATTTCCATATCAACTTCTTCCACAAGATCACCATTTAGGAATGCATTTTTGGCATCAAGTTGATGTAAAGGCCAATCTAGATTTACAGTGAGAGATAACAAAACTTTTACAGAGTTAAGCTTGGTAACAAGTGTAAAAGTTTTCTGGTAATCAATAACATAAGTCTGAGTAAAACCCCAAGGAACTAACCAAGCCTTATATTTGTTTACACTCCTATTAGGATTGTATTTATTTTAAAAACCTACTTACTACTTACAATTGACTTCTCCTTAGGCAACTTAATGATTTCCCATGTTTAGTTTTTATGTAGAGCCCTTAATTCTTCTTCTATAGCCTTTTTCCATTTGGGATCTATAATTGCTTCCTCATTGTTCCTAGGAGTATTTTTGTTTTCAACATTTACTACAAATGCCTTCATATGAGGAGATAAAATTTTCTATGAAATACACCTGATAATAGGATATCTGATACAATTCCTCTTTTTTTTTCTCAAAGAAATTGGCCAATGTAAGTCCTCAAGACTTTCCTCAAGTATAGATTCATAGTTTTGCGTCAGTATAGAAATAAGGTCTTCTCTACTCTAGTGATGTTCAATAGCACTATTAAGTTCTTCCACCTAAGTCTTAGAATCAAACAACATATTAAGAGGCTCAAAAGGATTAGCATCTTGAAAGTGGGATATGTTTGAGAAATTTTCAAAATTTAGAGATATTATTTCAACAGGCTCAGCACAGTTTGAAGGCTCGGAGGTGGAATCATTATGATTAAAGAAGGTATTTGTAGGTAGTTTTGGTAATATGTGTAATAGTATGGCCCCCAACCCCTTATGCTGGCGAATATGGTGCTAGCACTTATCCCCTCACAGGCTCACGTGTGACTTTTCTTATAATAGTACATAAATTATTTCTTACCCCACTACAGAGGTCTTTTGAAACTTTCCTGGAGATTGAGCCCCCAACCTCTCCTACCTTAGTAAAGTTGTGGCCAACCTTAGTACCATTGAGTTAACTATATTCACTAGCCATGTAAGAGCACGGTCCCTAGCCTTTGCACTGGCAAATACAGTGCTGGCACGTATCCCCTCTTGGTGTGGGCATGTGTCCCCTCACGGGCCCACATGCAACTTTCCTTATAATAATACATGGATTATTCTTCACCCTATCAAAGAGGTCTTTTGAAACCTTTCTAAGGATCGAGCTTCCAACCTCTCCTACCTTAGTAAAGTTGTGGCCAACCCTCATACCATTGGGTCACTTTAACTCAATAGTGCCAGACTTAGTCTCAACTTCATTAAAGTGGTAGAGGTTTCAACTTCCTCACTTTAGGAAGATTTCAAAAGACCTCTTTAATGGGGTGAGGAATAACTCAAGTATTACTTTGGGAAAAGTTAGCTTTCGTTGTAGTGGTGTGGGTTAACCCAGTGGGATTAGGTAAGGATTGTTACAATATGTAGTGTTCATGCCATTATCCAAAAAAGTTAGGTAAATTGTTACGATGATCATCCTCAGGTAAACAAATTGACCTTTCATTTTCATTTTCATTTGTCCCTCTCTCCCTCTGAATAGGTGATTTGTGAAAAAAGGACTGGTATTCAACAAATTTGACATTTATGGTAATATAAATAGGATTTGTAATAGGAGAATAGCATTTATACTCTTTTTGAGTAAAGGAGTACCCCAATAAGACACACTTGATAGCACGAGAATCTAACTTTCCCCAACCTCCTTGTACACAAACATTGTACACCTAAAGACCTGTTTTGATATGGTTGTTGTGAGATAGGAGTTAGGAAAGATCTTGAGAAATTTGTAAAGAGGGCTTTGAAAGTTTAGAGTTCTAGAGGGCAAATGATTGATCAAGTAGGCAAAAGTAAGGATAGCATACCCCTAAAATTTATTTGGAATATTGCCACCAATCATAAGAGCACAAGAAACCTCAAGCAAATGTCTATTTTTGCTTTAAGAGACACCATTTTATTAGGGAAAATAGGCACAAGATGTTTGATGGTGCATGCCATATTTTTGTAAATATGTTTGAAAATTAGAGTTAAAATATTCTCTTTCATTATC